ATAATAACAAAAGTAAAAAGCAAAAAATGTTAGATTTTATAAGACATTATGACCCTAATAATTTAGATGAAAATTATCAAAGTAATATTGAAAAAATACAATGCATAGCAAATACTATACAATATCCTAATATATTTAAGAATAACATAGAAGCAGTAGCTCGTGTGTATGGAGATGTAATAGGAAATGTAATAAAAGAATTGATTATACTTTTATGGCAGGACATTATATCAATAATTACATTCAAATATAATTTAACAGATTACGAAATAAGGGATTACATAGAATTTTTAATAAAATAAATTTGTTTAGATTTTTTACAAAGATTTTTTACAATAAATTTTGATAAAAATTTATGCTGAAATTTGTGAAACAAATTTTACAAAGATTTTTTACAATAAATTTTGATAAAAATTTATGCTGAAATTTGTGAAACAAATTTTACAAGGATTTTTTACAAAGATAATTTATAAAATGCAATTTTTCAACAAATATTTTTCGGAAGATTTTTATGATGAAAATTTTGAAATATTATTTTTATGAAAATTTTGGAAAATTTTATGATGAAATTTTTAATATTTTTTATCATAAAATTATTGATTTTTTATTGAGATTTTTTGCGAGGAACGGTTGAGGATCGGATGTCAAAAATGAGCAAAAAATTATTGAAATGTTGAAAACGTATATCCCCCCCTAGGGAAAAAACGAATGAGGGTTGAGCGGGTGTAAAAAAAAGTGGGGCATACCCTGAACTAACTCAAGGCCAAGGACAGTGCGGAGGCGCAAAGCAAGCTGCGAGAGCTGAAGTGGTTGAACGACCGGGGGGAATGGGTCTACATGGTCTGGAACCCGCAAACGGAGAGCCTGGAGATGGACGAGATCCGACCCGCCGTACCTCAGGAGGTCTTCATCAATCAGGTGACAGAAACCATCTCGATGATCGCACATCCGGGGGCCTTGACGCGCTTTCAAAACGTGAGGCCGCTGACGGAGGACATGTCCGGCCACAGTGTGGCGTTCCTGATCGACGTGAGCCTGCGGGAGGAAGGCACGCCTCTGCATCGGATGCTCACCTCATGGGTGGACCTGCAGGCGTGGGGTCTGGCGGCCACCAGACTACGCCAGCAACGTCTTCGGCGACCACCGGCAGCGGAGAAGCTGTCGGCCTGGCTATCCTCAAATTGAGGTTCCGCAATCCCAATCAGCAGTGTTATGTCAACTCGGCGGTTTATGCGTGTCTGTACTGGCTCAGATCCAAGCTGGCACAGGTGGGCACCAACAAGCTTCTACAGGGGCTGAGGAAACTTCAAGGCTTGGAATCCAAAAGTCTGCACCACATTGCATCCCTGTTTGATTGGAGGTCTTTGATGCAGGGATGGAGCAGGCCAGCTGTTCAGCATGATGTCACGGAATTTCTCATGCATATTCTTCGACAAGGGGAGCGCTCCTCTTGGGTTGGACAGTGGCAGTCGGGCACTTGGATTGCCGATCGGTATGAGTTGGAGGACACAGGATGGGGCTTCACTCCGCTGCATGTGCCAGGTGCTGAAGAGAGCTACACACTACAGCAGTGTCTGGACTTTTGGCATCGTCGGCCATCGCAAATCTGGGGCGAACAAACTGCGTGTGCTTGCATAGCTTCCCATGAGACTCATGTCTGCTTTGCATTGCAGCGGTTTCGACGCAACGCTGATGTTGTTACGCGATACAATGGGCACATTTCTGTTGAACGCAGGTACATGCTTCCTGTTCAGACGACAGATGGAGTGCAGCTGGTTCCCTTCATGGTTCAGGCCATGATCCTTCATATGGGGGAGCGTGCAGATATGGGGCACTATCGTACTCTGCTCTGGTTTGCCGATGACGTTTCCTACCTGACGGATGATGGTGTCCAGGGCACGGAAGATTCGCAAGTCTGATGCTGAGCTGATTGAACGTGGCAGTTACGTAGTTTGTCTCACTCGTGTGTGATACTTTTCTTCGTGTCTTTTTCGCTGACTGCCCGCAGGCACCCGTGTCGGGGTAGCCACGCAGGCACACGTGCCGGTGGTTGAATGTACATAGTACAGTCACTCGAAGTGACCGGGCCTGAAAACCAGGCTTGTTCAGTGCCACATGCGCGCTTGGTGGAGCTCGACTCGCCCGCGTCTTCAAAGTCAAAGTCACGGCCTCTGCCGCTCGCTTGGTGCCCCGTGCCGGGGGCGCTGTCTCCCTACGGTCTCTGCGCCATCCTCTGGGTTTGCCTCAGCTGCACGAACGTGATGCGAGCGCCAACACCCTCTACCGTTTCTGCGCGCGAGTCATTCATGCCTGCGCTTCGCATGGAGTGCTGTGGAGCCTGGAAAACCCTGCCTCTAGCCTCTTTTGGCTAGTCCCTGAGGTCGCTGCCCTCACCGATCTTCCCGGGTTTCGCGCCTTCTGCTTCCACAGTTGTGCGTTTGTGCCTGCTGGCCAAGGTCGTCGCAAGTGTACGGCTCTTTGGTGCAATTTCGGAGCCTTGCTCCAGCTTCAGCGTTTTTGCGACGGCTCGCATTTTCATTTGCCATGGGGTCTTGTGCGTCTGCCTTCTGGGCATACGGTGTGGTCCACATCCCTGGAGGCCCACTGCTCGGCTCCTTTGTGCCAGGCCTGGGTGGCTGCCTTCCGTTTTTTTGCCATTGGCAATCTGTGCTTTGAGCCTCCAGATCAGTTCAGCAAGGTTGTTGCGCATGACGACACCCTGCGTCCCCTCGTCAACAAGTCCATCCTTGGAGGGCTTCCCCGGGGCCGTGCTGTCCCTCCCTTGCTGACTGAGTTTCTTCTGCCTGCGCACATTCACCGCTCGGCTTTGTGGGCCTTGCTGCCCAACAGCCGGCTGCCTGCGCCCCCCCTTCCATGGAAAGGCTTCCCATTCCTGCCGTGCCCAGGACATGCTTGTAGCATCGGTGGGCGATCGGTGGATCAGCGAAATCCGTCACACAACTGCGGCCCCCATTCGCAGAACGTGACTGCTGTTTTTCACAGGCTTCTAATTACAGAGCCCCTTGCCTGTAGTGGGATGCTCCAGGCCAAAAGGGCAGCTGAGATGGCCTGCCCCTGCTGGAGCAAAGATGGTCGTGTAGCAGGTAGGTCTGGAGCCACAGCAAGCCAAACCTCTTGCGCACGTAAACTCCAAGGAGGGTGATCAGTGTCGAGCCGTTTTCTTGACACTCTTGCCATCTCTTGCCAGAAACTGCTGCTAGCAGCGGCGCTTCGAGGAGGCGGTCCTCCCCAATGCTCACTGAGGTTCAGCATCGTGGGTCTTGAGGCGAGAGCAGAAAGATTTCGGTTCCAGATCTCGTGCGCTTGCAGTGTCGGAGCCAGGGCCAGCTACTTGCAGCAATTGTCACATGTCTCTCCAGGTTGAGCCTGCTCCCCCTTGCAAGAGAACATGCTCGACGAACTTTGCAATGATCACATTGGAAGGCGCAGCTCGGGCCCCCGTCGACCCGTATGAGCCATGCAGATGCATGCATATTGGCCAAGTCCTCTCTCTCTGCGCCCCGCGGAGGAATGTCTGCTCTCCGGCTTTCCCTGCGCACTGCTGCACCCTGCAATCCTTCAGGGCAAGGCAATCCTGTATGCTCACTGCCTGGGGGTCACGGTTGCCTTAGCTTTAGCCGTGAGGTTGACAACATGTGGCCTGTGTGTGCATGGCGTGGTGGGGTTGGATCCCCGCTGCGGCCAGACACATGACCTGTGGGGACCACCTTCCGGGCAACCCCGAATTCGCTTCGCCCGAAGCCTGCCACAGTCTCTAGCGCCACTTCACTTTCGACTCGCAATGGCATGTGCCGTGGACTTTCTGGCCCCGCAGGTCCCGCGCGGGCAGCTGCCAGGCCGATACGCAAACATGGCCGACGTGGCACCCTGGTGTCACTGCCAAGCTGCCTGGCGTCAAACGTGGTCGCTCGCAGACACTGACCATTATGGCGTGCGGCGCTCGCACGCTTGGGACATCAGCTACTGCATCGCGAAAGCCTAAAGGAAGGCGATTTCGGAAAAGATCAGCCTACACAAACCAATCAACTGACGAGTGCAAAAGAGACGTGCGTATGCAACTGTACTTGGCCATGCCCTAAGCCCGAACCCGAATCCTGAAACGTAACCTGAATTACTGTAGGGTTTGGGGTTTAGGGTTTAGGGTTTCGGGTTTAGGGTTTAGGGTTTAGGGACTGTTTAGGGTTTAGGGTTTAGGGGGCTCTTAACCTCCGTCATCCTCCAACCCTAAACCACAAATCGAACACCGCTCCGGACAGAGGGCCCGTGGGGCCATTTGGCTTCTTTGACTTACGCCTTCGATCTTCACGGCCCTAAGCCCTGAGCCCGAAACCCTAAACCTTGAACCCGAAACCCTAAACCCTGAACCCTAATCTCAGAACCCTAAACTCGAAACCCGAAACCTGGCCCCCGAACCCCTTAGCCCGAAAAACTCTTCTGAAGCCCTCCTTCCCAAGCATGGACGTCTCCCTGCCCTCCGCACTGGGCGGGGGCCCCAGTGCTGGAACGCGCCAGCGGTCTAGGGGTTTATAGGCGTTGCAGCTTTGGGTTGAGGGTTCAGGGTTCAGGGTTCAGGGTTTAGGGTTTAGGGTTTAGGGTTTAGGGTTTAGGGTTTAGGGTTTAGGGTTTAGGGTTTAGGGTTTAGGGTTTGCGTTTAGACGCCCTAAACCTTAAACCCTGAACCCTAAACCCTAAGCCCAAAAGTTGTAAACCTCAATCTCAGATGCCAAGCAGCGGAACCTAGGACCCTAAACCCTCAAACCCTGAATCCCCAAAACCCTAAAACCCCTAAACCCTAAGCGCCAAACCCTAAAACCTAAAGCCCCTCAACCCTCAACCCTTAAACCCTAACCCTACAACCTTTAAGCCTAAAAGCCCTAAACCCCAAACCCCAAACCCCAAACCCCAAACCCCAAACCCCAAACCCTAAACCCTAAACCCTAAACTCTAAACCCTAAACCCTAAACCCTAAACCCTCCAAGGCCGCGGTCGAGTCCCGCCGCCAAAGGCTGCCGCGGGCGCTGCCGCGGGCGCTGCCGGGACCCTGCCACTTAGGGTTTAGGGTTTAGGGCTTTAGGGCTTTTTGGGTTTAGGGTTTAGGGTTTTAGGGCTTTAGGGTCTAGGGTCTAGGGTCTAGGGTCTAGGATTTCGTTTAGGAGTTTTGGGTTTAGGAGGTTAGGGTTTAGGAGTGTAGGCTGTCGGGGTGTTGAATTTAGGGGTTGTGGGGTTTTGGGTTTAGGATTCAGGGTTTTAGGGTCCTGGTGTTAGGGTTTAGGAGTTCAGGTAGGAGTTTGGGGGTTTGGGGGTTGTGGGCTATGGGGTTTGGGGCCATTCCATATCTTGATCTCCTTGCTAGTACTTCGATGTTTCAGGAAACCTTGTAAGAGGACCACCAAGAAGGCACTTAACACCTGAACCCTGAACTTTATAATCCCCAAACCCATAGCCCAAACCCCAAATCCTAAACCCTAAACCCCAAACCCTAAACCTTAAACCCCAAACCCTAAACCTTAAACCCCAAACCCAAACCCAAACCCCAAACCTTAATTAGTTCAGATCAACAACCCAACTGCCAGAGGAGCGATGGCTTCTTGACTCGCCGTGGGCGCCTCGTGGGAGTCCCCCCTGGCAGTGGGGCCTGGGGGGGGGTTTAGGGGTTAGGGTCTCTAGGGTTTGGGAATCAGGGACAGTTTAGGGTTTCGGGTTTTAGGGGGTTTAGGGGGTTTGGGGTCTAGGGGGTTTAGGGTTTAGGGGGTTAGGGTTTAGGGTTTCAGGGCATTTAGGGTTGGGGGCCTTCAGGTGTTCAGGGCTGGGGGCCTTTAGGGCTGTAGGGCCTTTAGGGTTGTGCAGGGGGTATAGATTGGTGCAGGAGCGAACATGAAATGTGGTGGCCATGTAGGTCTGATCGTGGTTTCGCTGATAGAGTGTTAGTTGGTAGCAAGAATGCCGTTGACTTGAAACCCTAAACCCTAAACCCTAAACCCTAAACCCTAAACCCTAAACCCTAAACCCTGAACCCTAGCCTCGACCCAAAGGTTAATGTCCTGGGTGGAGACTTGTTTGTTGACAGGGGAAGTCAAAGTGGGAGGGTCTCGCTGTGCCCTACAGCCCCCCTCCCCCCAAACCTCTCAACCTGCAAGGCCCTTGAACCTGAACCCTAAACCCTAAGCCCGAAGCCGTAAACCCTAAGCCCTCAATCTTAAGCCGGAAACCCTAAACCCTAAACCCTAAACCCTAAACCCTAAACCCTAAACCCTAAACCCTAAACCCTAAACCCTAAACCCTGAACCCTGAACCCTGAACCCTGAACCCCACCAGACCCCGAGTCCCATCCCCTGAGCCCCAAACCCTAACCCGAAACCTTGCATCCTCCGCACCCCCCCTAAACCCTAAACCCCAAACCCTAAACCCTAAACCCTAAACCCTAAACCCTAAACCCTAAACCCTAAACCCTAAACCCTAAACCCTAAACCCTAAACCCTAAGCCAGCCCTAAGCCCCAAGCCCCAAAACCCTAAGCTTAAACCCTAAACCCCTCCCCCCAGGCGCTGCAGCACAAGCTGGCGAAAGCTCCGCCGGCGTCGTTGTGCGCCTCGGCGAGGGTAGGTTTTCAGGTTCAGGGTCGAGGATTTAGGGGTTTAGGGCTCTAGGGGTTTTTGGGGTTTAGGGAGAGCCCAAAACCTTAAACTACCCCAACACCCGCACCACGCCCTTTCAACACCCTTTAGAAGCCTGGTTAGGGTTTGGGGTTTGGGGCTTAGGGCTTAGGCAGGGTTTAGGGCTTAGGGCTTAGGGTTCAAGACACTTGAAAGACCCGTTCAGCACCCTGCAAAAACCTTACTGTTGGTTACGGTTGGTTAGTAGGGAGTGAGGGAATGAGGTGCCCATTAATCCCCTTTAAGGGGTTATACCCTAGACCCTCAACCCTAAACCCTAAACCCTAAACCCTAAACCCTAAACCCTAAACCCCTAAACCCTAAACCCTAAACCCTAAACCCTCATTCCCTCATTCCCTACGAACCAGCAGGAAGAAACGCCTGGCTCTAAGGCTCGGCGGGGGAGCAGCTGGGCTCCTTGCCGCGATGACGGCAGGCTTTGTGGTTTGGGCTTTGTGGTTTGGGGTTTAGGGTTTGGGGTTTAGGGTTTGGGGTTTAGGGTTTAGGGTTTAGGGTTTGGGGTTTAGGACTCTAAGCCCTAAACCCTAAACCCCAAACCCTAAGCCCTAAACCCCAAACCCATTGAAGGTTTTGGGCTTAGGGTGCAGTTTCGTTGGGGTTGAGGGGCTAAACCCCTAAATGGAAAGCCCCCCTCAACCCTAAAACCCAGGCCTGCAGGGTTTGGGGTGGTGTAGGGTTTAGGATTAGCGGTTTAGTGGTCTAGGGGTTAGGGGTTTAGGCTTAGGGGTTTAGGGGTTTAGGGGCTTTATAGGGTTTGGGGCTTTAAGGGTTCAGAGGAGTGATCCGACCTTGGTCGGGCATGTGCAGGCATGGTTTGGAGTAGCTCACAGAAACCCAGAGAGCCCAATATCTCTGTGCTAAGGAACGTTGTCCAATGATTGATTTGTATTCGGGTTAGGGCTCACGGTAACCTGAACCCCGGACATTGACAGTCGATTGCCGGGCTTGGGTCGTAGATTTAACGGGCAGCCCGCTCTCTAAGTCATAGCCCCTTTCTAGGGCCCCATACCTGTTTACGAGGGACTAGCCAACTACCTTAAACCCTGAACCCTAAACCCTAAACCTTAAACCCCAAACCCTTTCGGGTTTGCTGTTACTCTGAACAAAGGCAATCTTATCTGAAAGTTCTTGCTTGAGCCGACGTTCGACACCAATTATCATGCTTCTGAACACGCTTGAAACTTCGGGTTTAGGGTTTATTTCGGGTTTAGGGTTTAGAGTGCATCGTAAACGCCATCTTTCGGTAAATGCCCATAAACAAATGACATAAAATTTGAGCAACGCTGTCACGTCTAACGACAACTTAAGATAAGCGAGCAGTTTTTGGTTTGGAAAAGAATGCTTGGCTAATGCATGTGGATCCAACGTTTGGCATAAACTGCTAGTCTGCAGGATTTTGGTCCCGAAGCCCGAAACCCCAAACTCGAAGCCCCAAGCCCTAAACCCTTAATCCGTGAACCCTGAACCCTAAACCCCTAGATTTTAATTTTTTTTGAAGCTTCATGGTGAACCCCCCAGCCCGCCTCAATGCATCTCCCTGTTCTGTGAGCCGTTTGCCTTGAGCTACACAGGTTTTGATCACTTTACAGAGGACAATATGTTGTTAAAAGCACGCATTGATCGTTTTCGGGGTTTAGGGTCTGAGGGTTTCGGGAGTTAAGCCCTAAACCTTAGGCCAAAAGCACTGAGTTACAAGGTAAAGTTTATATGTCCATCTCATCGGGAGGGGTTCCGAAGGCACTAAGTTAAGCACCATCCGCTCAGGATTTTGGGGTTGGGTCTAGGGTTTTAGGGGTTTGGGGTGTTAGGGTTTAGGGTTTGGGGGGCTAGGTACCGAAGCTTGAAAAGCCCCCAAGCATAGAAGTCCCTGCGGCTCCTCTATGGCGAGCACTGGCGGCGTCCCGTCGGCCGTGGCGGCCGGCAGCGGCCCCCTGCTTGGAAACGACGCCCCAAAAGCCAATAGGGTTTAGGGTTGGGACCCTAAACCCTAAACCCTAAACCCTAAACCCTAAACACTAAACACTAAACCCTAAACCCTAAACACTAAACACTAAACCCTAAACCCTAAACCCTAAACCCTAAGCCCTACCCCTATGGGGGTTGGGGTTTAGGGATAAACCGTGACCTTCAAGCCAACCAATGAACGAACCTTGAAACCCTCTGTATCCCTAAACCCCAAACTCTAAACCCTAAACCCTAAACCCTAAACCCTAAATCCTAAATTCTAAACGCTCTGTATCCTGAGCACCTGAACCCTAAGTCCGCAAAAATCCCGAACCCTAAGCCCTCGAGAGTTCAGGCTCGGGCTTTCTTGGGCTTCCGAAAGTTTTTGGGTTTAGGGTTTAGGGTTTAGGGTTTAGGGTTTAGGGGTTTAGGGGTTTAGGGTTTAGGGTTTAGGGTTTAGGGGCCGGGATTGCACGATTTAGGGGGTTTAGGGTTCAGGATTGAGGGTTTAGCGTTTAGTGTCGGGGGTGGGGGGTCTCGGGGTTGAGGTTTAGGGTTCTGTAGATCCAGGTATCCAGCTCGAAGTAGGCCCTGAGTCTGTTCGAAGGTGGACGTGGAGTGTCATGAGTGGTCCGAAAAACCCTAAATCCCGCAGGGTCATAAGTACTCTCCCCAAGGAAGGTGAACGCCAGTTGCAACTGTTGAGGCTTTACTTAGAACCTGAACCCTTAAAGTTTAGGGTTTGGGGTTTAGGGTTTAGGGGTTCAGAATTTAGGGTTTAGAATTTAGGGTTTAGGGCTTCGGGTAGCCTACTGACTTCATCCCGAAACCCCGCTGCCAGGCACTGGGCCCGAGGCTGGGCGTGAGACCTGTGTCGTGTTTTGGGGTCCAAGGCTTGGGGAGTACTTGGAGGGTCATGGTACTTAGAAACCCAATCATATCTGTGCTTATGGCCCAAGTATAACCCTTTTGGGGTACTTTAAGGGGCTTATATGTGGGTCATAACTTACGCTTATAATGGGTCACGAAGTACCCTGAACCTCCAAGTAAGGTTTGGGGTTTTAGAATCTGCCCTGTTTAAGGGTCTTAGGGTGTAGGTTTAGGGTTTAGGGTTGAGGGTTTAGGGTTTAGGGTTTAGGGTGTAGGGTTAAGGGTGGGCAGGGAAGTGCAGGAATGGGAGTTTCAGGGTTTGTTGATTAAGAATGTTGGGGTTTAGGGTGCCCGACACCCTAGACCCTAAGCCCTAAACCCAGATTCCGTTCAGGGTTTATAGCGTTTGCTTCCGAGAACGTGGAGGCGGCCCTGAGCCGTAAGGGGCTTTAGGGTTAGCGGTTGTTAAGAAGAGGCACTTTGAAAGTTGGTTAGGGCCAAGGTTTTAGGGCTTTACCCCTGCGCTGCACGTGCCACTGCTGGGTCTCATCAATCACCCTAAACCCTAAACCCTAAACCCTAAACCCGAAACCCTAAACCCTAAACCCTAAACCCTAAACCCTAAACCCTGGCTTCGGGTTTAGGGTTGGGGTTCGTGTCCCCCACCAAACCTAAACCCCCAAGCCTGAAACTCCCATTAGCCCCTAAGCCTTTAAACCCCAAAGCGAGACAAGACCGCAAGCATGAAGCCCCAACGCACCCTAAACATTAAGCACTAACCCTTAAACCCTTAAACCCTAAACCCTAAACCCTAAACCCTAAACCCTAAACCCTAAACCCTAAACCCTAAACCCTAAACCCTGAGACCCTAGACCCTAACCCCTAAACCCTAACCCCTAAACCCCAAACCCTAAACCCTAAACCCTAAACCCTAAACCCTAAACCCTAAACCCTAAACCCTAAACCCCAAACCCCAAACCCCGAAAAGGCGAACCTGGAGGTGAGCCGTGCGGCGAAGGATGTGCGCAAGCTCAAGAAGGCATCTGGGAGGTTTCCGAAAGGTTTAGTTTAGGGTTTAGGGTTTAGGGTTTAGGGTTTAGGGTTTAGGGTTTAGGGTTTAGGGTTTAGGGTTTAGGGTTTAGGGTTTAGGGTACCTTATGGGGTCCTTTTTTGAAGGGAATCCTACTATTTGGGGTTGATATTCGGGGTCCCTTATCGTGGGCAGCCATATGGGTGCGGGGCGTAGGGTTTTTATGGGCCTGACGGGCTTTCAGGGTTTAGGGTTGAGGCTTAAAGGTTTAGTGTTTAGGGTTGGGGCTTGAAGGTTTTGGGCTTTTTAAGGGCTTTTACGGGCTCTTTTTCAGGGCTTTTTCAGGGCTTTTTGAGGGCTTTTTGAGGCCTTTCTAAGGGCTTTTTAAGGGCTTTTTATGGGCTTTTAAATGGCTTTTTAAGGGCTTTTTAAGGGCTTTTTAAGGGCTTTTTGAGGGCTTTTTAAGGGCTTTTGAGGGTTCGGCCTGCTCCCGGAATGGAGTTGGGTGAGCGGAGCAGTCTCCCCCGGCACAAGGGTGCGGGGCTGAGGGTTTAGGGTTTAGGGTCTAGGGTTTAGGGTTTAGGGTTTAGGGTTTAGGGTTTAGGGTTTAGGGCACTTTGGGAAGGCGTTTGGTATGGAGGCGTGGTGGAGGACCTGCTGCGGATCAAGTTCAGGGTTTAGGGTTTAGGGTTTAGTGTTTAGTGTTTAGTGTTTAGGGTTTAGGGTTTAGGGGTGGCCCTTCAGACACTGTTCCGGCCCGCGCTGGCCAAGCTCCGCACAAGCATCCTGCGGGGAGGGGAATGAGGAAGAGAGAGAACATCGCAGGCGCCGGCTAGCGAGAAGCGTCGCAAGTCCCAGAAGGAGAAGTCCTGCTGGTTTCTTCCCTGCATCAGCCGCTGAGGACTGGCAGCGAGGTGGTGGTGCTTCATGCTAGTGCTCCGGTTATTGGAGGCTGTAAAGGCTATTTAATGTTGTTTAGGGTTTCCATGGGCGGCTTTGAGAGAGTTTCAGGGTTGAGGGTTCAGGGTTTGCAGGGATTGTTGCTAGCAGTTGGTTTTAAGAGTTTAGGGTTTGTGTTCGCAGGGTTGCTAAGTGCTTCAAAAGGGTTGCAAGGGGCAAAATCTTTTAAGGGTTTACAATGTCTTCAACGGCCCTTCGCGGCCTTCTTTTTGGGGGGTTTTGAAGCATTTTAGAGCATGGGCTGAAGGTTTGGATTTTGGAACCAGGGCGTTTTTTCAAGCCCCAAATCCTACACCCTAAACCCTAAGCCCTAAGCCCAACAGCCTGGTCTAAGTGGGCGAAGTCTCCGAATCTCATGGTGTTTACGAGGGAAAGGACTGGTCCAGAGACGCAACCCTAAACCCTCAACCCTAAAACCCTAAAAACTATACCCTACTAAGCCCTTTTAATTATATACTGAACCAGAAACCCTAAACCCTAAGCCCTATAAACCATAAACTAAACCCTAAACCCCAAACCCCAAACCCCAAACCCTAAACCCTAAACCTTAAACCCTAAACCCCGAACCCTAAACTCGAACCCCAAACCCGAAACCCTAAACCCAAACCCCCGAACCCAACAACCCCAAAACCTAAACTCTAAAATCCCAATCCCTGAGCCCCTATCCCATGCGCTCGGGAGCGCCAGGCGCTTCGAGAGATAGAGGCCCTGGAGGAACGCGTAGCGCAAGGCCCAGGGGGGATGAGGGTTTAGGGTTTAGGGTTTAGGGTTCAGGGTTCAGGGTTAAGGGTTAAGGGTTTTAGGGGGGGGATTAGGGTTCAGGGTTCAGGGTTAAGGGTTTAGGGTTTTAGAGTTCAGGTTCAGCATCTCAAGTTCAAGCATTCACTAGTCAATCAACTACTCGAGTGTTGGAAGATACCCGCCCGCCCAAAGAATCCCATGACATTAGGAAACATTTAGTTTCACTTACATTTGTATTTTCAGGCGACAAGACAGACAACATTCTGAAACCCACCCTAGAGATTCGGCGTTTGCTTCGTGTCCCACGGGAAAAGGTCAAAACTTGCCGCCTAGTGTCCCACTATCCAGGGTCCAAATTTGCTGAGTGTCCCACCTTTTATGGGTTGTCGGGATTTTTTTGCCGGGATGCACTAATACAATCCCACCGCAGCACCGAGCACACCTTAACTCAAGCCCTGAAATCTAAACCCAGGCCCTGAGGCCCTGAAGCACTAAACGCCAGGCCTGAAGCCCTGAAACCTAAACCTCAGGCCCTACGGCCCTGCAACCCTAAACCCCAGGCCCTGAGGCCCTGAAACCCTAAGAAGGCTCCGAGGCCCCAAAACCCCAAAGACCCGAAGACCCCGAACCAACCCGAAACCCAAACCCCTAAACCCTAAGCCCGAACCCGAAACCCTAAACCCTAAACCCTGAGAGAACTAAGAAGGCCAAGAGCTCATGGCCTGCCAAGTGGAGAAGATCCGCCGAAAGTCGGATTACCTAGCGCCTTGCCTTATAGGATTTGGGGTTCAGGGTTTAGGGTTTAGGGGTTTAGAGGGTTTAAGGCTTACATAACCCCTTATTAAAGGGTATGTAAAGGAACCAGGGGGATTGCTCGCAGTGAACATACGGAGTGTGGGAGTCTGGGGGTGGCTTTCGGGGCTTTGGGGGTTTAGGGTTTAGGGTTTGAGGTATAGGCTTTAGGTTTTGGGGGTTGAGGGTTCTTGCTATGTGACAGGGTTTGGGGATTTACAGTTGGGAGCTTCGCGATGCTGTGGGGGGTGGTGTCCCTACAGAACCCTGAACCCTGAACCCTAAACCCTGAACCTGAGCCTCAGGGAAGCGTTTGGGGCACAAGAGGCCAGGGAATGTCGGGAGCTTGACCCTAAACCCTAAGCCGTAAACCCTAAACCCTAAACCGTAAACCCTAAACCCTAAACCCTAAACCCTAAACCCTAAACCCTAAACCCTAAACCCTAAGCCCCAAACCCTAAACCCTAAACCCTCAACCCTAAACCCTACACCCTGCAATCAAGTCCTCCTGCACCGTCATGACCGAGGACAAGCTGGCCGACCTCACCGGATGGTCGTAGCGGCTCGTAGCGTCCACGAAGGTGAGCGGCTTGGGGGTTTGAGGATCAAGGGTTTAAGGGTCAGGGTTCAGGGTTTAGGGTTTAGGGCTAGAGTACCCCAGAAACCCTAGACCCTAAACCCCCAAGCCCTGAACCCTAAACCCCGAAACCCGAAAAAGCCCCTGAACCCCAAAACCCTACAAACCCTAAGGGTCTAGAGTTTAGGGGTGTTGGTTTAAGCTTCAGTGCTGGGGGCCCCAAAATTTTCCGTCTGCAAGGCCTTAGGGTTTTAGGGTTTAGGGTTTAGGGTTTAGGGTTTAGGATTTAGGGTTTAGGATTTAGGGTTTAGGGTTCAGGGTTTAGGGTTGAGGCTTAGGGTACTGCCCAAACCCCACACCCCACCAACCTCTCCGGTGCTGGTGGCCTCTATCACATGTGCATGTAAAGGTTATTAGCCATTTGGCCCACAAGCCCTAAACCCTAAGCCCTAAACCCTAAACCCTAAACCTTAAACCCTAAACCCTGAACCCTCTGGTCCTCTCCGGGCTCCGGGACCAATGCTTTAAAAAAGTTTCAAAGTAACGCAAGGAGGTGCGTATATCGAACTCGAGACGACCCGCAACCCCGCAACAAAGTGGCGGGTGGCACTCTTTGTTCGTGAGCCAAAAAGCATGAGTATTTTGGATCGAACTGCGCAGCCCTAAACCCTACACCCCTAAACACTAAACCCTAAACCCTAAACCCCAAACCCCAAACCCTAAACCCTGAACCCTAAACCCTAAACCTTAAACCCTTAACCCTAAACCCCAAACCCCAAACCCTAAACACTAAACCCTAAACCCTAAACCCTAAACCCTAAACCCCACACCCCAAACCCCAAACCCCAAACCCCAAACCCTAAACCCTAAACCCTAAACCCTAACTGAGCTGAGGCCGCCAGGACCACGTTGGATGACTCCTGGTGCTGTACAGCTCTGAGTGCCTTTAGGGGTTGTGAGGTGTTCCCCTAAGCTGCTTGATTTAGGATTTGGTTAGGGTTGAGGGTTGAGGGTTTGGGGTTTAGGGATACTGGAGGGTTGAAGGTTTAGGTTGAGGGTTTAGGGATGCTACAGGCTTTAAGATTTAGGCTTTAGGGGTCCAGGGTTCAGGGCTGTGGGGGTTGATTTTAGGATTTAGTGTTAAAGGGTTTAGGATGTCAGATGTACGGTGTAGGCGTCAGGTGTTCAGGGTTTGGGGTTTTGGGGGTTTCAGATATAGGGTTTTAGGGTTGAAGGGAGGCGGGTTTGGGGTTTGGGATTTAACCTAAGGGTTTTTCCAGGGCATAGGGCTTAGGGTTTTGGGTGTGGGGTTGAGGGTGTTCTTCTAGATTTGGGTTTGAGTTTAGGGTTTAGGGTTTGGGGTTTAGGGTTTAGGGTTCAGGGTTTAGGGCTCAGGGCCTAAGGTCTGCGGACTAGGGTTTCCCAGGGCGCAGTGCTTTGGGCATCAGATCTTTGCAGCAATCTGACCAAGTTTTTTTGGGTGTAGGGGTCTTGCTCCAGCACCCTACACCCCGACCCAAGACCCTCAAGTCCTCAACCTTCAAGGGTTTAAGGTTTAGGGTCTAGGGTTTAGGGTTTAGGGTTTAGGGTTTAGGATTTAGAGGGGGTTTGGGTGGGGTTTAGGTTTTCGGGTGTCCTTCTAGATAGGATCCACGGTGGTATGTTTCAGAGTTTGCGGTTCACGTTCTGGCTGTAGTGCGCAGCTTTTGGGTTGCGCCTGGGGTTGAGGGCTGAGGTGTTTAGGTGTAGGGGAGCTGCACACATGTACAGTGTACAGAGAGACTTGCGGCGCGCCTCCAGGAAAAGCAGGGTTTAGGGTTTAGGGTTTAGGGTTTAGAGTAGGGGTCACTGGCCCCTTTAGACCTGAGTCCTACAACCCCCGCAGTCTAACTAGGGTTAAGGGTTTAGGGCTTTGGGTTTAGGGTCTAGGGTATGAACCCCCTAAACATTTCACGGAGTTTGGACAGAAGACTGGCTTCGGAGCAGTCCACATGTATTGCTATCTTGCCTACACCCCCCCCCCAACCCTAACCCCCAAACCCCCAACCTTAAAACCTGAACCCTAAACCTTAAACCCTTAACCCGACCCTAAAGTTCTCATTAACCCTTCCCCCCTGCTTATCTCTCCTTCTCGACCCCGGGCCCTAGGGTTTTAGGGCTTCGTGTTTTAGGGTTGAGGGCCCCTCAACCCGAAAATCTTCAAGACGCGCAAGATCCTAAACCCAAAGCTTAACCTGGAAGCCCCAAACGACCCTTTTTGCTCTAAATCCCTCTAAGCCTCCTAAACCCTAAACCCTAAACCCTAAACCTTAAACCCTAAACACTAAACCCTAAACCGTCTAAACCCTAAACCCCAAACCCCAAACCCCAAACCCTAAACCCTAAAACCCTAAACCCTAAACCTTAAACCCTAAACCCTATACCCTAAACCCTAAACCCTAAACCCTAAACCTTAAACCCTAAACCCTATACCCTAAATCGCCTACACCCTAAACCCTAAACCCCAAACCCTAAACCCTAAACCCCAAACCCCAAACCCTAAAACCCTAAACCCTAAACCCTATGCCCTAAGCCCTAAACCCTAAACCCTAAGTCCTAAAGCCCTAAGCAGGCCCGAGTTGCGCCCTCCCCAAGAGGCCGCCGGGGTCGCCCTGTGACGGTTCTGGAGAAGAACCGCGAGCTGGGAAAGAAGATCCGGAGCTCAGGGTTTAGGGTTTGGGGTTTAGGGTTTAGGGTTTAGGGCTCAGCACAGTTAGGGTTGAGGGTTTAGGGTTTACGGGTTTAGGGTTTAGGGTCTAGGGTTTAGGGTTTAGGGTTTAAGGTTTAGGGTTCAGGGTTTTGGGTCTAGGGTTCAGGGCTTAAGGTGGGTTTCGGGTTTAGGGTGTTAAGGGTTTTAAGGGTTAAGGGTTTTTGGTTTAGGGTTTTTGGTTTAGGGTCTAGGGTCCAGGGTTTAGGGTTTAGGGGTTCGGGCCTTTAGAGATTAGGGTTGAGGGTTTAGGGCCTTTAGGGTTTAGGGTTTAGGGTTTAGGGTTTAGGGTTTAGGGTTTAGGGTTTAGGTTTCAGGGTTTAGGGCTTAATTAGGGTTTGGGAAAGCAGATCCGGACCTGAAGGTTTGCGAGGGCTTGGGGTTCTTAGGGTTTCGGGTTTCAGGTTGTTAGGTTTTTTTTTAGGGTTTAGGGTTTTTAGGGCTTTTGGGGCTTTTTGGGTTTAGAGTTTTTAGTGTTTGCAGGGATTCTTGTGGTTTTGGGTGTTTCTGGGTTTAGGCTTCGGGGTGTTTTGGGTTTAAAAGGCGTTTTTGGGGCTTTTTGCGTTATATGGCTTTTCGGGGCCTTTTGGGTTTATAGGACTTAGGGTTTAGGGTTGCAGGGTTAGGGTTTAGGGCTACGGGGTTTATGGAGTTTTACGGGGTTGGGGCTTTGAGGGTTCAGAGTTCGAGATGAAGGCGTCAAAGGTTTTGTGTTTCTCGCTCAGCTCTGACAGTGGAGTTTAGGGCTTATGGAGTATCCCTAAACCCTAAACCCTAAACCCTAATCCCTAATCCCTAAACCCTGAACCCTAAACCCTAAACCCTAAACCGTCTTGGGATAACTAGACTGTTCTTCGAGCCAACTTTACTTAGTTTGTTTTGGGATGTTCCATCGTATACTCACAGTCCTTAATAGGATTTAAAGTATCCGCGATTCGAATCCCGATTAAAGACTGGTAGGAAAAAGGGGAGTATCCCAAAGTTTGTTTTGGTTTGTGATACTTTTCAGGACCATTTTTAGACTCTAGGAACCGTTATTCGGGGAGAGTTTCATGCCCTGCAGTGAAGCCCTAAATCTCTAACCACCCTAAACCCCCCAAGCTCTACACCCTAAGTCCGTAAACCCTAACCCTGAATCCTAAACCCTAGACCCTCAACCACCCTAAACCCTAATCCCTAAACCCAAGCCCTAAGCCACAAGAGTCTTCGGCCCTACACCGCTAGGATCAGTGGCGGCGGCCGCTGCAACTTCACAAATATCTCGGCCGGGGTCCCTGTTTTCGGGGGAGGGCGGAGGAAACCCTAAAACCCTAAAACCCTAAAACCCTAAAACCCTAAAACCCCAAAACCCTAAAACCCTAAAACCCTAAAACCCTAAAACCCTAAAACCCTAACACCCCAAAACCCCAAAACCCCAAAACCCTAAAACCCTAAAACCCTGTAAACCCCAAAACCCTAAAACCCCAAAACCCTAAAACCCTAAAACCCTAAAACCCCAAAACCCCAAAACCCTAAAACCCTAAAACCCTAAAACCCTAAAACCCTAAAACCCTAAAACCCAAAAACCCTAAAAACCCTAAAACCCTGAAACCCCAAAACCCAAAAACCCTAAAACCCTAAAACCCTGTAAACCCTAAAACCCTAAAACCCTAAAACCCTAAAACCCTAAAACCCTAAAACCCTAAAACCCTAAAACCCTTAAACCCTAAAACCCTGCAAACCCTGTAAACTCTAAAAGGGCTTGGGGGTTAAGGCGTGGGGTTAAGCGAGGTCATGTCGCACCTTGTTGCGGAAAGGTGGGGCGCTTGTGAAGAGGGTTGAGGGACTAGCATGGGTTTAGGGTTTAGGGTTTAGGGTTTAGGGTTTAGGGTGTAGTGTTTCAACAACCCTAAACCGCACTGTCATCCGGACTCCACAGAATTGGAGCGTGCGCACGTTACGACCATGCCAGTGGCCGAATTCCAGGTGCAGGTGCATATGGACAAGTCGACAGGTGAAGTGCGGGGATTTTGGTGCTTGGGTTTATGGTTAAAGCCCTTAACATCCTTAATGCCCTTAAACATCCTTAAACCCCCCCAAGAACGCATAAAGTCCTCAACGCCCTTAAAACCTTTTACAGCCCTCAAAACCCTTAAAGCCCTTAAAGTCTCCAAAAACCCTGTTAACCCTTACAGCCTGAGCGCCAAACACTCCAGCCCCCAAGTCCTCTTCTAGGGTTTAGGGTTTAGGGTTTAGGGGTCTCGCTTTGTTCGCTCAAGCTTAGGTTTGTTGCTCAGGGTGTTTGGGCCCGGGGAGTGTCAGGTTTTAATCTCAAGCCCGATGCGCCCGCGAACCCTAAACCCTAAACCCTGAACCTTAAACCCTAAACCCTAAACCCTTAACCCTAAACCCGTGGCCCTCTGAGAGCATCGCAACCTCCGAGGACGCCTTGGACCGCGCCTACCACTCCTCCACGCCCTCTTCCTCCAGCCGCGCGCCGCCGAAGGTGCCTTTGGTTTGGGGTTTAGGGTTTGGGGTGTAGGGTTTAGGGTTTAGGGGTTTGGGGTTTAGGGTTTAGGGTTTAGGGTTTACGGTTTTGGGGTTTAGGGTTTAGGGTTTAGGGTTCGTGGATACATCTCACACTAGGTAGGGTTGTGATTATGAGTTGAGGTAGGTGTATTGGGCTCTCGGGGTGTAGGGTTTAGGGCTTGTTGGCCGCCGGGATTGTAGCTACACAAACTGATTCAGCAGTGATGGTTTGTTGCTTAGGGTTTAGGGCTAATGGCTTCGGGTTTACGGCTCAGGGCTGAGGGCATTCAAGTGCCAGGAACTGCAGGAAAGAGCTCTTCAGCCCTAAGCCCGCGCAGCCGCATGCCCCTTCGCTAAGGGTTCATTGAGGAGCCCGCTCTACTTTCATGTAGATCCCTGCACCTTAAAGCCAAAAGCCCGAACCCGTGCCAGGAACCCGATCCCTTGAGAAGGGACTCCCCTCGTTTAAGCGAGGAGGCGGCGACGCCTGGCAACTTTTTCCAGAAGGCTGTGCTCCAAACCCTAAACCCTGAATGCTAGGGGATTAGGGTTTTTAGGATTCAGGCTTGGGCGGAGGATACGCTTGCAGGAAGGGTCTACCCTAAACCCTAAACCCTAAACCCTAAACCCTAAACCCTAAACCCCTAAACCCTAAACCCTAAGCCCTAAACCCTAAACCCTATACCCTATACCCTGAAACCTAAACCCTAGAACAAAACCTTAAACCCTAAACCCGAAACCCTAAACCCTAAACCCTAAACCGTAAACCCTAAACCCTAAACCCTAGACCCTAAACCCTAAACCCTAAACCCCTTCACCTAAATCACAATAGACTACACTCGACCCTACACGCTAAACCAGCAAGAGCCAAGGGTGGCGTTTCAGGACCCTGGGATGTTTTACATTTGTCTTTAGGGTCTAGGGTTTGGGGTTGGGGTTTAGGGTTTAGGGTTTAGGGTTTAGGGTTTGGGGTTTGGGGTTTAGGGTTTAGGGTTTGGGGTTTAGGGTTTAGGGTTTAGGGTTTGGGGTTTAGGGTTTAGGGTTTGGGGTTTAGGGTTTAGGGTTTGGGGTTTAGGGTTTAGGGTTTAGGGTTTAGGGTTTAGGGTGCCCTGCTTGGGTTTTGGAATCTTACGACCACAGCTTCGCTGCCTAGGCCCTAGACTCTAGTTCCTAGACTTACCAAAGCCCTGAACCCTGAACCCTAAACCCTAAACCCTAAACCCTAAACCCTAAACCCTAAACCCTAAACCCTAAACCCTAAACCCTAAACCCTAAACCCTACACCCTAAACCCTAAACCCTAAACCCTAAACCCTAACCCTCAAGCCTAGCCCGAAACCCTAAACCGCAGGCATTCCAGAAGTATCCGCCGGAGAAGTTCATCGCCTTGGTGGAGTCCCATGGCATCAAGTGCTCCGGGGGCTCCGGGACTTTAGGATGCCCTAAACCCTAAACCCTAAACCCTAAACCCTAAACCCTAAACCCTAAACCCTAAACCCTAAACCCTAAACTCTAAACCCTAAACCCTAAACCCTGAACCCTAAACCCTGAACCCTGAACCCTGAACCCTGAACCCTGAACCCTGAACCCTGAACCCTTCACTACCCTAAGCCCTTCACTACCCTGAACCCTAAACCCGAAACCCTAAACCCCAGACCGTAAGGTGTAACCCAAACAACGACGCTAGGCCCCCCTCAGTTCTTGGACCCTAAGATTAGAGATCCTCCTCGAGGTTGTTTTTCTTTTTTTGGGGTGGGCGGGGGGGGGGGTTGGGGGTGGGGTGCATGTGGGAGGGTACAGCAGATGACTTTCGGGGTTAGGGCTTAAAGGGTTCAGGGTTAGGGTTCAGGGATCAGGGTTCAAGGGTTAGGGTTTAGTAGGGTTAGGGTTTAAGGGTTTTAGGGTTCGACAAGTCTGGATCGGCGGCGCACCGCGCTCCTGAAACCTTTTTCATTGTGGACGACTCAAACCACGAGGAAAGAGACCAGGAGCTCAGCCGCAAGTACACTGTTCCGAGGCTCCGCGAGACTGCGACGAACCAAGCTCACCCAGAGCTCACATGCTCTGCTTCCGAAGCCACCCCCTCTTCGAAGATGTTCCTCCTACCCGGGAGCGGACCAGCAGCACCTACAGGACGAGAGCAGTTCGTTTCTACCGCTCCACCAAAATGGCTGTGGGGGATTTGGCCATGGTAAATGCCAGGGACATCACCAAGTTTCTCCAAAGTGGAATCGCGACCACGAAGCTGCTTTTGAGCAGAGAAGTTGGAAGACCTTACAAGTATGAGGTTGTGTCCTTGTCTGGGTTTAAGCCTAGTAGTGTAGAGTAGGTAACCTTTAACCTTTTTGGGGTAGTGTAATCCCCTTATAATCCCAAAGGTTAACTGTTAATTCCCCCAGGTTACTGGACAACTAAGTAAGAGTTGAGCTTTGTGCTTTTGTGCTTTCTGGGGCTCATTGCTACTTGGGGGGGAGGAGGGGGGGTCAGGGTTATGGGTTGTAGATTGAGGGTTAGGATTATAGGGAGTTTGAGTTGAAAGATCGGGGTTTGGGGTTCAGGGATAACCCAGAGAGCCTGGGTTTAGGGGTGTCATCCCTAAACATTTGAGCTCGGGTTGTAATCCTTTGGGGTGAAGGGTTTAGGGTTTAGGGAGGGTTTGGGGTTTCGGGTTTGGGAACCCGAAGCCCGAAACCCAAAACCGCCTAAACCCTAAACCCTAAACCCTAAACCCTAAACCCTAAACCCTAAACCCTAAACCCTAAACCCTAAACCCTAAACCCTAAACCCTAAACCCTAAACCCTAAACCCTAAACCTTAAACCCTAAACCCTAAACCCTAAACCCTAAACCGGCGTGCAGGTACCACGAGAAGAAGTTGGGCCAGCTGTTCTGCAACCGGTCGGCGCACTCCATCGTGGACATGCTCCAGGAGGACGAACCAGGGCTTTGGGGTTTGGGGTTAGGCGTTCACGGGTTCAGGGGTGGGGTTCAGGGGTCAGAGGTTTTGGGGTTCAGGGGTTTAGGGGTTTAGGGGTTTAGGGGTTCAGGGCTTTTGGGGTTTAGGGGTTTAGTGGTTTAGGGGTTGAGGGTTGAGGGTTGAGGGTTGAGGGTGAGTGCTGATGCTTCCCTGGTCGGACTGAACTTCAGGCCCCCAAGGCCTCAACCTTAAACCCGAAACCCATGAACTCCTAAACCCCAAACCGCAACCCTACATCCCAAAGACCAAGCCGTAAACCCACACCCCAAACCCTAAACTCCCAACGCCGAAATCCCTGAACCCCTGGACCCTAAACCCTAAACCCTAAACCCTAAACCCTAAACCCTAAACCCTAAACCCTAAACCCTAAACCCTAAACCCTAAACCCTAAATCTCGGCTCCCTCCTCACTTGAGGGTATCCCGGCAACCTGCATGTAGGGTTGAGGGGTTTTAGGCTTTAGGGGTTGAGGAGTTTTAGGCTTTAGGGGTTTAGGGTTAGGGTTTAGGGGTGTAGGGTTTAGGGCTTTGGGTTTAGGGCTTAGGGTTGGGGGGCAACAGATCTCCGGAGCACTTCACTGCAGTGTCGGGTTGAAAGTCTGAGTAGCATCCTCCACCCCTCAGGGGTTTTGACTTTCGGTTTAGGGTTTAGGGTTTAGGGTTTAGGGTTTAGGGTTTTAGGTGTTCAGGCTGGAGGGTTTGGGTGCTTCAGGTTTTTCAGCACTCGGGCCAGAAGCACACGTGTTCAAAATGTCCCTCGTGGCTCCTTGTCCGCCGGTTGCTGCTGGGGGAGGAGGGAGCAGGGGGGGGAGATGTTCATGATTTCGGGATGGGGTTCAGGGTTCAGGGTGCAGGGTTTAAGGTTTAGGGTTTAGGGTTTGGGGTTTAGGGTTTAGGGCTCATGGTTCAGGGTTTTGGGTTCATTTTTTCTTTTTGTTGTTTACAGGGCGCTCTAAGACTTCTCAGATTGAACTTTGGTGTTGGTGTTCGCGTTCGTGAACACCAACGCGTCAAGCTCTCGACCCCCAAGCCAGGGCCCCAACTCTACGTCGCCCACAAGTGTTAGCCCTAAACCCCTAACATCCTCAAGCCCTGAAAAACCCTCAAACCCTCGACCCTAAACCCTGATTCCCTAAACCTCGAAGACCCTCAGTACCTGATTCTTCTGGCTCAGCAGCTTCCTCCACCTTAGGGAGGGTTAGGGAGTTTAGGGAGTTTAGGGTCTATGGGGGTTCACGGAGTTTAGGGAGTTTAGTTAGGGTCTTCAGGATGCTCACTTTGCTTATTAGTGGGGCTTAGGGTTTAGGGTTTAGGGTTTAGGGTTTAAAGTTTAGGGTATCCTTACATTTCAAGGCCGAAAGCCGGCCATGGCCACCATGCTTCATGTCTGGCGGATGTCGGGGGATGAGCTGGCAGCCTTCCCAGTGGAGGACAGGAAACCCTAAACCCTAAACCTTAAACCCTAAACCCTAAACCCTAAACCTCAAACCCGAAACCCCGAACCCCAAACCTGTCGTCTCGGATCCTGACACCCCCACACCAGGAAAAAGCTCCCCAGGGTTCACGGTTGACCAGAAGGGTTTAGGGTTTAGGGTTTAGGGTTTAGGGTTCAGGGTTGACGGGTTTAGGGTTAAGACCCTGAGCCCTGTGGGCCTTTCCCCCTAAATCCTGATCTTTTGATGCAGCACCAGACCTTAAATCCTTATCGCTACGACCTCAACCGTGCACCCTAAGCCCGAAGCCCGAAGCACGAAACCCCTAAACCCCTAAACCCCTAAACCCCTAAACCCCTAAACCCCTAAACCCCTAAACCCCTAAACCCCTAAACCCCTAAACCCCTAAACCCCTAAACCCCTAAACCCCTAAACCCCTAAACCCCTAAACCCCTAAACCCCTAAACACCTAAACCCCTAAACCCCTAAACCCCTAAACCCCTAAACCCCTAAACCCCTAAACCCCTAAACCCCTAAACCCCTAAACCCCTCAACCCCTCAACCCCTGAACCCTAAACCCTAAACCCTAAACCCTAAACCCTAAACACCCACACTGCGAAGGAGCTGAGCGACGTCCGCACCCTGAAGCAGGAGCTGGCGCTGAGGCCCACGAAGACTTCTCAAAGGGCTTATTGGGGTTTAGGGCTTTGGGGGTTTAGGGTTTAAGGGGTTTTGGGGAAACCCGCTCCCTTTAAACCCTAAACCCTAAACCCTAAACCCTAAACCCTAAACCCTAAACCCTAAACCTTGAACCCTAAACCTTAAACCCTAAACCCTAAACCCTAAACCCTAGACCCTAAACCCTAATCCCTAAACCCGAAAGAATCCGAAGCCTCAAACCCCCAAGCCAAAGCCGAAGGTGTGGACAGTCGCGCCGCCGCATGAGGCTTCTTCACGCGGGCATGTGCCTGGAGGACAAGGCCCTTCTCAGGGCTCCACTTGGAGGTTTAGGGTTTAGGGTTTGGGGTTAGGGTTTAGGGTTTAGGGTTTAGGGTTTAGGGTGTAGGGTTTAGGGTTTAGGGTTTAGGGTTACTGAAGAAGCCAATTATGACTGTACTTATAACCATATTGGGGCACTTAAAGGGCGTTAAAGGGCTTCTCAGGGCCCCAGGGGTCAGGGGCCCTAACCCCTCCACTTTAGGGCTTGGGGTTTAGGGTTTAGGGTTTAGGGCTTGGGGTTTAAGGGTTTAGGGCTCAGGGGTTCGGGGTTTAGGGCTCAGGGGAATTATGGTTTAGGGGTTAGGGTTTAAGGGTTTAAGGGTTTAAGGGTTTAAGGGTTTAAGGGTTTAGGGGGTTTAGGGGTTTAGGGTTAGGGGTTTCGGGGGGCTTAAGGGTTTAGGTTCAATCCTGACACCACCCGAAGCCCTGCAGCTTACCCATCCTGACCCTGTCCGGGCACCCCCCAGCACTAAACTGTGGGGTTTCAGGGGTTTGGGGTTTAGGGTTCAGGGTTTGGGGTTTAGGGTTTAGGGTTTAGGGCCATCCTAAAATGCTCCAAGACCCTCAACCCCAAGACGCTGATGTGGCATTGCATGACGGGTGGTCGAGACTCCTAAGGCGCGAGGCTTAAATGGGGGTTTATCAGGGGTCCCCTTGACCCCAGGCAGGTTCCCCTAATATCGTAAACCCCCATTTAGGTTTAGGGTTTAGGGTTTAGGGTTTAGGGTTTAGGGTTTAGGGCCAGGGTTTAGGGTTACAGGGTGTTAGGGGTGTCAGCGTTTCGCAAGGCGCTGCTGGACTCGCCCATGGACCTCTCATTGCTGCTGCTGCCCTTCGTGGAGCCCACACCAGAGGAGAGGCCCCAGCGTAGGGTTTGGGGTTTGGGGTTTAGGGTTTAGGGTTTAGGGTTTAGGGTTTAGGGTTCAGGGTTCAGGGTTTAGGGTTTAGGGTTCAGGGTTTAGGGTTCAGGGTTTAGGGTTGAGGGTGAACTGAGTGAGGGGACCTGAGCCACCCAGAAGCCCCGAAGCCCGCTGCGCCCTTGGAGCGAAAAGCCCAAAACCCTTACACCTCGAACCCTACGCCCTACTTCATATGGTTATGGTTTTAGGGTTTAGGGTTTAGGGTTTTAGGTTTTAGGGTTTTAGGTTTAGGGTTTAGGGGCCAGGTTTAGGGTTTAGGCTTGAAGGCTACGTAGGGCTTAGGGTTTAGGGTTTTAGGTTTAGGGTTTAGGGGCCAGGCTTAGGGCTTAGGCTTTAAGGCTACGTAGGGTTTAGGGTTTAGGGTTTAGGGTTTAGGGTTTAGGGCTTAAGGCTTAGGGCTTAGGGTTTAAGTTTGAGGGCACGCGCAGGCGGAGGCTCTTCGACTCGGCTCGGCAAGGCCAAGCGTACGACATGGAGGAGCTCGCGGGGAGGTTTGGGATGTAGGTGTTTGGGACCCTAGACCCTAAACCCTAAACCCTAAACCCTAAGCCTGGTCTCCTGAAGTCCCGATCCTATCGGGCAGTTCTCGGAGTCTGGTTTAGGGTTTAGGGTTTAGGGTTTAGAGTTTAGGATTTCGGGCTTGGCCTGGGTTTAGGGGATATCTGCTTCAGGGGCAGTGTATGGAGGCTGCTGCATCAGCGAGCACCCAACGAAATCCTAAACCTTGAGACAATGTCTGCAACCCCAACCCCAAACCTCAAACCTCAAACCTCAAACCCCAAACCCCAAACCCCAAACCCCAAACCCTAAACCCTAAACCTGGGCAGGATCTGCTACACCAGCCTGTCGATCCAGACCTTGCTGACGCGGACTCTTGTGATTTAGGGTTTAGGGTCTAGATTTTCTGAAAGTTAGGACTTAGAGATTTCTAGGGGTTTGGGGTTTAGGGTTCTCCTACGTGTTTTTCAGCTCTGTAACTGGGTAGGGGTTTTGGGGTTTAGGGTTTAGGGTTTGGGGTTTGGGTTTAGGGTTTAGGGTTTAGGGTTTAGGGTTTGGGGTTTTGGGGTTTTGGGGCTTAGGGCTTAGCGCCCAGGATGGCAAGACGCTGCTGCACCTGGCGGCCAGCAACTAGGACAGCCAGGAGTATCTTTATTAATTCTTTGTTTTTTATGTTTTGGAGTTTGAGCTTCCTTTATGAACCGACAATCCCCATGTTTAACGAACATGCCTTATCGGGCTTCTTGTTATGAATGGGTATGTTCCTAAACCCTAGCCTCACTTGGAGGTTCATGGGTACTTGTAACCCCAATTATAAGTCTACTTATATCCTACTTAGAGGGCTTGGAGGACTTCGGGGGCTTCTTCGAATATTTGTAATTAGGGCCACAAGAACCCGGAACCTCCAAGCAACCCTAAACCCTAAACCCTAACCCCTAACCCCTAAACCCTAAACCTTAAACCCCAAACCCTAAACCCCAAACCCTAAACCCCAAACCCTAACCCCTGAACCCTAAACCTTACTAGGCCACGGCCACGCGGACGTCGTGCGGCTGCTGCTTGAGGTGGGGCTTGGTGAGGGTTCGGGCTTTGCTCTGTTTGGGGTTTAGGGTTTTGGGGTTTAGGGTTTAAGGTTTGGAGTTTAGGGTTTGGGGTTTAGGATTTGGGGTTTAGGGTTTAGGGCTCAGTGTTTCCCCGCAGAGAAAACCCACGGTTTCGGGCTGTTCAGTTTGCGTCATCCGGGGATGCAGAAGTGCCTGTAGTTTCACAGGAACAGGGTTTGGAACCCTAAGCCCTACATCTTAAAACCCTAAACACCAAAGACCCCTAAACCCTAAGAAACCAAGCCCCAAAAACCCTAAACACAAAAAACCCTAAAACGGGTTTTTGGCGTAGATGTTAGGGTGGTGTGTTTCGGGTCACTTCAGCACCTGGGGAGGGAGTGTAATTATGTAGGGTCTGGGATGTGCAACTAAGGTAAACCCTAAACCCTAAACCCTAAACCCTAAACCCTAAACCCTAAACCCTAAACCCTAAAACCCAAAACCCAAAACCCTAAACCCTAAACCCTAAACCCTAAACCCTAAACCCTAAACCCCTAAACCCTGAATCCTAATTCAGCAGCACAGTCGCGGGCGGACCACGGCAAGTTGGATAACTTCGGCCACACCCCAGTGCACTTGGGCTGCAGGTTTTCTGAGAGGGCTTTTGGGCCAGGCCTAGGGGTGTCAGGGGGTCTAGGGTTTAGGTTTTGGGGTTTAGGGTTCAGGGTTTAGGATTGAGGGTTTAGGAGTTTAAGGTTTAGGAGTTTAGGGTACCCTAAACCCTACACCCTAAACCCTAAAACCCTAAAACCCTAAACCCTAAACCCTAAACCCTAAACCCTAAACCCTAAACCCTAAACCCTAAACCCTAAACCCTGCACCCTCGGGGGCTTCAGGCACTTGGCCACGGGCTCCCGAGTCGTGCACTTGCTCTCCGCAGTGCTGAGCTCAACTGACTCCGAGGAGCCGGGGGCTTCCAGGGCACCGTGGTTTTGGGGTTTGGGGTTTAGGGTATTGGTAGGGTTTAGGGTTTAGGGTTTAGGGTTTAGGGTTTAGGGTTTAGGGTTCAGGGTTTAGGGCAAGTTTAGGGTATGGGGTTTAGTTTAGGATTTAGGGGGCTTTGCTTGAAGCCTCAATTCGGACATGACTCCGAGCCGGCCCGAGTGCTTCGAGGGTTCCTAGGGTCCCAAAAAGCCGTAGTTCTCGAGTGTCTTAAACCGGTTTAGGGTTTAGGGTTTAGGGTTTAGGGTTTAGGGTTTAGGGTTTAGGGACGGAAGTGGCCCACGTCTTCATACGACTGCGCTTTACACAACCTGCCGAGCACCCCCTACACCCCTAAACCCCTGAACCTCAACCCCCCGCTCCTCCAAAACCCTAATACCTCGGCCCTAAACCCCGGTTTAGGGTTTAGGCTTTAGGGTTTAGGGTGTCTAGGGTTTAGGGAAGCTCTACACCCTCAACCCTGAGCCCTAAACCTTAAAACCAAAACTCCAAAACCCCAAAAACCCAAACCCCAAACCCGAGGCCCTTTTCCTCAAACCCTAAACCCTAAACTTCCTCCCCCTAACCCTAAACCTTAAACCCCAAACCCTAAGCCTAGACCCCAAGCCTGAAATCCCACACCCCAACCCCTAAACCCTAAACCCAAAGCCCCAAAACCGTAAGCCCCAAACCCCAAAACGCCAAGACACCAAACCCCAACCCCAAAAACTTCAAGCCCGAAACCCCCACACCCCAAACCCGAAGCCCTAAGCCCGAAACCCTTTTGCTTAGGGTCTTAGGGTCTTAGGGTTTAGGGTTTAGGGTTTAGGGCATGTGCGCGTGCCATTGGCCGGCAAGGTACAACACATACGCCCATCCCTTCCAGGTAGCTGGCTTTCCGTGGTTTCGTTCACAACATGCTCATGGTTCAGTCTTCGCAGAACGAGGGGTATTAGGGTATTAGGGTTTAGGGTTTAGGATTTAGGGTTTAGGGTTTAGGGTTTAGAGTTTAGGGTTAGGGACCCTAAACCCTAGACACCCTCAACCCGAAACCACGCTATGTATCAAGGAGGATGTCGCGCGCTGATCAGTCGAGTCAACTGGCATGTCGGTGTACTGAACATGAGGTAAACCCTAAACCCTAAACCCCAAGTCCTAAACCCTAAACCGTAAACCCTAAACCTAAACCCTAAACCCAAAACCCTAAACCTCAAACCCTGGGCCCTAAACCCTAATCCGTAAGCCGTAAACCCTAAGCCCTAAACACCTACCCCTGCATATCAATGCCGCAGATTATTCAGCGCCAGAGCGCGGAGCACGGCGCGAACGGCCGCCTTGAAAGCAACCAAACAAACCCAAAAACCTAAACCCTAAATCCCAAACCCCTAAACCCTAAACCCCAAACCCCTAAACCCCAAACCCTAAACCCTAAACCCTAAACCCCAAACCCTAAACCCTAAACCCCCTAAACCTGCAGGAGCACTGCAGTCTGGCCGACCGCAAGGGCCGCTGGTCCAGCTTCGCCATCGAGCATTTCGGCTTGGGGTGTCCGGGTTTAGGGTTTAGGGTTTCGGGTTTAGGGTTTTCGGGTTTGGGGTTTGGGGTTTAGGGTTTCGGGTTTCGGGTTTTCGGGTTTGGGGTTTGGGGTTTAGGGTTTAGGGGTTTGCTTTTTAGGGGTTGAAGGGTTTATGGTTTGGGGTTTAGGGATTGGGGTTTTACGCCTAAACCCTGAAACCTCAAACCTGAAACCCCTCAACCCTAAACCCTAAACCCTAACCCTAAACCCTAAACCCTCAACCCTAAACCCTAAACCCTAAACCCTAATCCCTAACCCCTAACCCCCAAACCCTACCCCTGTGCGCTGCAGCCGAGGCCCGAGCCGTATCCTCCAGCCAAGAGGGCACGCGCGTTGCACGCGTAAGAGCCTGAATGCTCTAGTTTCGGGTTTAGGCGCTTGGGGCTTAGGGTTTAAGGTTTAGGGTTTAGGGTTTGGGGTTCAGGTTTCGGGTTGAGGGTTTACGGACAAGAGGGCTTGCAGGGGTTTAGGGTTGAGGCTTCAGGGTGTTTAGGGTCTTGATGGCCGAGTTGTGATGCGTGCTCCTGTCATCGAAGAGGCACAGGGGCACAGAAAGCTGCGCTGACCCCGCCGGCCGCTGTACAGCTGCGGCGAGCACAACGCTTCGGCAGGGCAAAGCATTGTTGAAGCACCGTGGGCCCCTAGACCGAAAGCTTTGATCTAAGAATAATTCAACATACCCCAAACCCATACCCCTTAAGCTACAAAAGGATAATATGAGGAGGGATTCTACCATAGCCCTGAATTTATTTTGAGGGTATGCCCAAGGGCTATGTTGAATATTTCTCAGATCCAAACCCTAAACCCCAAACCCCAAACCCCAAACCCTAAACCCTAAACCCTAAACCCTAAACCCTAAACCCTAAACCCTGAACCGCCCCGAAAGCCCTGGACCAGCAGCCATCGGTGCCAGGAGTGCCTGGCCGCCGGCGTGCGCCTCGTCACCGAGTCCGAGGCGTTTTGCTCCCGCGGTTCAGGGGTTTCAGGGTCTTAGGGGTTGTAGGGTTTAGGGGTTTGGGCTTTACTTTAAAGTTTGGGGGTTTCAGGATTTTGGGTTTAGGGTTTGGGGGTTTAGGCTTAGGGCTTAGGGCTTAGGGTTTAGGGTTTAGGGTTTGGGATTGGGGTTTGGGGTTTGGGGCGAAGGGCTCAGGATGGATGTATTTCGGGTCTGGAGTTTCAGTCCTTTTACTTGTTTCGGGTCTTGAATGAGTCTAGATTTTTGAGGTTTCGAATCTTTTGTGGGGTGTAGGGTGGGTGCTTAGGGCTTTCGGCGTTTTCGAAGGCGCACACCCCAACCCCCAAGCCCCAAAAACCCTAAGCCCCAAAACCCCAAAACCCCAAAACCCCCACAAGCCCCAAATCCTAAGCCCCAGAACCCCTAAACCCCAAAACCCCAAACCCTAAACCCTAAACCCTAAACCCTAAACCCCAAAGCCCCCTAAATCCTAAGCCCCAGAACCCCAAGACCGCCAAACCCTAAGCCCCAAAACCCAAAACTAAACCCAGAAAAGCCCCGAGGACCCCAAGCACGAAGCAGCCCGCAACGGCCTCAACCCTCAACCCAAAACCCCTAAACCCTGAACCCTAACCTTCATCAACCCTCAACCCTAAACCCTCAATCCCTCAACCCTAAACCCTAAACCCCAAACCCTAATAAACCCTAAACCCCAAACCCCAAACCCTAAACCCTAAACCCCAAACCCTAAACCCCAAACCCTAAACCCTAAGCCCTAAGCCCTAAACCCTAAGCCCTAAACCCTGAAGCTTCGGGAGGTGACGTCCGTGCGGCCCTCTTCGGGCGCAGAGCGCTTCTGCGTCCGCTACCGAAGGTGGGGTCTCCTCTACAATTGGCTTGTTTAGGGTTTAGGGTTTAGGGTTTAGGGTTGCTAGGGTTTAGGGTTTAGGGTTTAGGGTTAAGGGTTTAGGGTTTAGGGTTGCTAGGGTTTAGGGTTGCTAGGGTTTAGGGTTGCTAGAGTTTAGGGTTCAGGGTTGTTGGGGTCCAGGGTTGTTAGGGTTGTTAGGCTTGTTAGGGTCGTTAGGGTTGTTAGGGTTGTTAGGGTTGTTAGGGTTGTTGAGATTGTTGGGGTTGTTGGGGTTGTTAGGGTTTAGGGTTCTCAGATTTTGGGTGTAGGGTTTAGGCTTCGCAATTTCTAGGGTTGGCTTGGGGTTTAGCCCTGACCTAGACCCTAAACGCTAAACCCAATGTATCTTGAACCCTTTAATCCTAAGCTTTTCAACCCTGCTACGCCGTATAGGCCTAAACCGTCAACCCTAAACCCTAAACCCTAGCCCTAAACCCTAAACCCTAAACCCTAAATCCTAAACCCTAAATCCTAAATTTTAATTTCGACAGGCCTGGTGCCGAGGCCCCAGTCGAGGAGGAGATGGGCGCCGAGGCCGGGAGGGCTTGGCTCCAGAGTTTGACGAGTTTGACCCCAAACCCTAAACCCTAAGCCCTAAACCCTAAACCCTAAATCCTAAACCCTAAACCCGAAACCCCAAACCCCAAACAGGGTGCACCGGTCCCTGGGCTGGGGTTTCGGGTGGAGGGTTCAGGGGATTGGGGTTGAGGGTTCAGGCTGCAAGCTTCAAGGTTTAGGGTTTAGGGTTTAGGGTTTATTGTTGACTTAAAACGGCTTGGACCTCACAAACCCAATCTCAAACTGGTAGCGGAGCTCCAGCCCACCGTAGTGTCGAGATCGGCAGCCGAGCAACAGAGATCCGAACCCACAAGAGCTTTAGGGTTTAGGTTTTAGGGTTTGAGGCCTCAACTCCTAAGCCACCCGACCAGGAAGCCCTAAGACCCCCAATCCCAAAACCCTAACACCCCAATCCACACCCTAAACCCTAAAGCCCGAAAGCCCTGAGTTCGGGCCTCCCCGCAAGGTCCTTAAACCCCCAAGCCAGGGTTTAGGGTTTAGGGTTTCGGGCTAGGGTTTGGGGTTTAGGGTTTTACGGTTTAGGGTTCAAGGTTCAAGGGATTAGGATTATTAGGGTTTCGGGTTCAGGGTTCAGGGTTCAGGGTTTAGGGTTTAGGGGTTGAGGGTCGGCTTGTCAAGAGGCGGTGGTCGTGGCCTCCGGCGGCCTCAGCTTTGCCCGGACGTGCGCGCGGCCAAGCGCAAGTCTTGGGGTTGGTTTAGGGGGCTCAAGGGACTAGGTTTGAGGTTTAGGGTTTAGGGTTTAGGGTTTGGGGTTTAGGTTTAGGGTTTAGGGTTTAGGGCTCAAGGGATTAAATTAGGATTCAGGGGGTTCAGGGCTTAGGCTACCGGGCTTCAAGGACGACTATGGGCTCGTTCGTGCTTAGATGTTTCTGCACTGGGGCCCGGCACCCCTGCCCTCAAACTACCGCTCCATGGCTCTGCTCAGGGTTATGTGGCTCTTAGGGTTTAGGGTTTGGGATGGGTTTGGGGTTCTTGGAGCTACGGTTTAGGATTTAGGGTGTTTTATCACGAAAGCTAGCTCCTTGGAGCTCGCGAGAGTTGTCGTTTACAAGAATTCTCTCTAGTGTTCAGCTGGGTCAAGAAGCGACTCCGACCCTTAAGTGGTCTGAAGATCAAAGAGATAAAGGGCTGTGGAGGGGAGGGGGGGGGCCCCCCCTCCCCCCCCTTATAGGATTGACAAATTCAATCTTCAGGTGTCCCCCCCCCCCCCCCCTCCTTTCAGGGTCGCCTTAATTGATTTCTGGGGAGGGGGGGGGGCCCCCCCCCCCCCCTTTTGGCCCCCCCCCCCCCCCCCCCCCTTTTCAGGCTTCCCTGTTGTCGAGCTGTAAGGCCCCGGGATGAGCATTCGAATCCGCAGCTTCCGACAGCTCTTGACCGCTGCGTGTCCCATCATGTTTCGTTTTGCTTACACCGATTCGGCAGTCCCGTCCTGCTCGGCTGCGCTGCTGCGCCCGCACTTCTCCTGCCTGACTCGAAAAAAGCTTGCTTGTCAGCCGCGTTTCTAGCTTTCGTGACCCCGATCTCAAGTGGCTCCATGTTTTTGTGGCTTTATGGCTACTGGGTTTCATGGTGTTTTGGTGTCGGGCTTTTGGGTTTAGTGTCTACTGTAGTGCTTTTCGGGATTGAGGTTGGGGATTTTCGGGTTTTGGGGCTCTGGGTTGTCCGGGATTTAGGGCTTTGGGTTGTCCGGGATTTCGGGCTAGGGCCTAGGGGTTTTAGGGCTACTTTTTCCCGGACTGTGACAGAGTTGCCTGTGAACCCTCTACCCTGAAGAGCCGTAAGCCCTGAGGCCCCCTAGCGCCTCAAACGCCTTATGCTCGGAACTCTGAAGCCCTAAACGTTCGGGCTTGCGGGTTTAAGCGGGCTTGAGGGGTTCAGGTGGGGTTAGGGGGTTCAGGGAGTTTTGGGGGGGATTTAGGCTCTAATCAAAATCCTAGACCCCTCGGAACCTTAAAAACCACAAACCCTGCAATCCCTAAGCCTAAGCCCGAAACCTGAACCCTATACCCTAAACCCTAAACCCCATAACCCTAAACCCCTAAATCCCTAAACCCTAAAGCCCTAAAGCCCTAAACCCTAAACCTCTAAACCCCTAACCCCCAAAACAAGACCTAAAGCCCTAAAGCCCTAAAGCCTAAAGCCCAAACCCTAAACCCTAAACCCTAAACCCTAAACCCTAAACCCTAAACCCTAAACCCTAAACCCTAAACCCTAAACCCTAAACCCTAAACCCTAAACCCCGTTCTCCGAGGTGGCGCCACGGATCTGGCCCATGTGCTGGCAAAGGACTTGGGGCTTGAGGCGCCTTCAAGCGCTCTAAGGGTTTTTTGGTAGGGTTTAGGGTTTAGGGTTTAGGGTTTAGGGTTTAGGGTTTAGGGTTTAGGGTTTAGGGTTTAGGGTTTGGGGTCGAGGGTTTAGGGTTTAGGGTTTAGGGTTTAGGGTTTAGGGTTTAGGGTTTAGGGTTTAGGGTTTGGGGTCGAGGGTTTAGGGGTCTAGGGTTTGGGGTTTAGGGTTTAGCGCTTAGGGTTTAGGGTTGAGGGTGTAGGGTTCAGTTTTTTGGGGTCCTTGAGGGTGCTACGCGTGCTTTTTGCGCTTTTTGGGGCTTTTAGGCTTCTTAGGGCTTGTAGGGTTTAGGGTTTGCTTCTCGGGTTAAGGGTTTCCGGGTTCGAGCGTTTTGAGCTTTGGGGATCGCGCGCCTTACGGGCGTAGCAAGTTTGTGTTTGGGGTTTCGGCACCCTAAACCCTAAACCCTAAACGTGGGATGTTCCCCTTATACTAGCAGTCCTTACTAAGGACTATAGTACCCCCGAGTATAATTCCTACTAAGGACTGTTGGTATAAGGGGGAACATCCCAACCCTAAACCCTAACAGCCTAAACCCGAAAGCGTACGCCCAAAAGTTTTGCGTTTTGTGGTTTACTTTCTGCTTTCAAGGTTCGGGCTGCATTGTTCGGGGCTTAGGGTTTAGGATTTAGGGTTTAGTTTTTTTTTTTTCGGATTTAGGGTCCAGAGTTCTGAGGATGTAGGGTCTTAAGGGTTGTAAGGGTCATGGGCGTTTAGGGCTTTGTGAGGGTTTCTAGGCCTTTTAGCGCTTTTGGGGCTTCACGACTTTCAGTGCCGGGGCTTCTAGGATTGATATGGTTTGGGGTTTAGGGCTTTAGGCCTCAGAAGTTTAGGTTCGTTAGATTTAGGGCTGCAGGACCGAAAGCTGCTAAACCCCACAGCCCTGAACCCCAAGCCCCTTGCCCGAAATTCCGCGAAACCCCAAACTCTGAACCCTATACCCTAAACCAGAGACCTCAGCCCTGAACCCTGCACCCCAAGACCCTAGACCCTAAACCCTAAACCCTAAAGCCTAAACCCTAAACCCTAAACCCTAAACCCTAAACCCTAAACCCTAAAACCTAAACCCTAAACCCTAAACCCTAAACCCTAAACCCTAAACCCTAAACCCTAAACCCTAAACCCTAAACCCTAAACCCTAAACCCTAACCCTACACCCTAAACCCAAAATCCCAAACCCTGAAACCTAAACCCTGCACCCTAAACCCTACCTCCCAAAGTAATGGCGAGGTCACCGGTGTGCGTCCCGGACTGGTCCCGCTGGTGGTGGTTGGCATGGAGTGGACGAGGAGCATGTAGGGTTTAGGGTTTAGGGTTTGGGGTTTAGGGTTTAGGGTTAAGGGTGTAGGTTTAGGGTTTAGGGTTTAGGGTTTAGGGTTTAGGGTTTAGGGTTTAGGGTTTAGGGTTTAGGGTTTAGGGTTTAGGGTTAAGGGTGTAGGTTTAGGGTTCAGGGTTTAGGGTTCAGGCTTAGGGAGGACCGGTCCTTGAGGGTTTGGTAAGTTCGGCGTCCAAGTAAACGGTGAGATAGGGACCTCAGGCCCCAGGATAGCTTTTGTTGGGTTACAGGGGTAAAAGGGTTTAGGGTTTAGGGTTTAGGGTTTAGGGTTTGCAGGTCTTTAGCGGTTTTAGGGTTTCGGGTTTAGGGTTTACAGGGGTAAAAGGGTTTAGGGTTTAGGTGTCAGGGTCTTCGCTATGATGGCCCTTGGTGAGGAGCCTGACGGGCGTGTCCATGGAGGCTGGTGATGCTCAGCCGGGTTTTGGGAATTGAGTCTTGAGTTCCCGAAACCCCAAAACCCAAACCCCAAACCCTAAACACTAAACCCTATTTGGGTTTCGGGTTTAGTTTTTTATCATATATAAGGTTTAGGGCTACTTGGGTCTCAAAGTCTTGAGTTCCTAGCCTGGAGAATCGATGTCCAGATCTTGTGAACCCATATGCCGGCCTCGGCTAGCGTCGGGTGTCGGGTTGAGGGTTTAGGGTGTATGGTTTCGGGTTTCGGGTTGAGAGGGTTACTGTAAGGATTTGAGGGGCTGGGGGTTTTAGAGATCATGGTTTGGGGATTTAGGGTTGTTGGAGTTTAGGGTTGAGAGTCTTGTGTTTTGCTTGTTTTGTTCTTCAGGTTTTTGGGTCTAGGGTTTCGAGGCATGTAGGGTTCTAGGCATTTTGAGGCTTCCACGGTTCCACGCCGGCAGGTTCGCGCGTCCATCGGAGGTATGTCCTTTGCATGATGCCCAGCTTGGAACGGTTTAAGGTTTACTGTTTAGGGTTTACCTGGATGTTCATGGGTACTTATTAGTTCCCAGTTCTAAGTCTAGTTATATGAAACAGGTTTTATATTACTGTTATTGGTGAGTGTATATAAGGTTCCTTTTTAATATTGGTGAGTGTATATACCTGGTGTCCTTTTGGGGGTACAAGAAATATATACCCTACTTCATATCCTACCTTCGGGGACTTAGGGGACTTAGGGGACTTAGGGGGCTTGTAAGTGCAGGAAACATTGGGGTTATAAGTACCCTGAACCTCCAAGTAACCCTAAACCCTGAACCCTAAACCCTAAACCCTAAACCCTAGCCCTAAACCCTAAACCCTAAACCCTGTATGAATCTACCCTGGAACCATCCTGAACCCTGAACCCTGAGCCCTAAACCCTAAACCCTAAACCCTAAGCCCTAAGCCCTAAACCCTAAACCCTAAACCCTAAACCCTAAACCCTAAACCCTAAACCCTAAACCCTAAACCCTAAACCCTAAACCCTAAACAAACACACTCCCAGGCCGTAGAAGCCCCAAGCGCCAAAAACCGAACCCCTAAACCTCAATTCAGGGTTTGGGGTTTAGGGTTTGGAGTTCAGGGGTTGGGGGTTAGGGTGCAGGGGTTGAGGGGTTGAGGGGTTGAGAGGCTTTAGGGGTTTCGGGTGTTGTGAGGGTCTTTAGGGCTCTAGGGTTTAGGGGTTTCGGGCTTAAGGATTAGGTTTTTAGGGGTTTAGGCGGTTGAGGAGGTTCCCGCAACGGGTTTAGGGTATCGGGTTTGGGGTTTAGGGTTAAACCCTAAACCCTAAACCCCAAACTCTAAACTGTGAACCCTACGAATCTTATATGAACCCTAAGCCCTAAACGTAGCGCCCAAGGTCGAACGGATCCTTTTCACGCACAAGGGCGTGAGCGGCCCTGCGGCACCTTGCTTTCGATTTCGCGGGATTGCTGGAGATGAGTTGGGGTCAGGGTTTAGGGTGTAGGGTTTAGAGTTTAGGGTTTAGGATTTAGGGGTTTAGGGTTTAGGGTTTAGGGGTTTCGGGTTCAGAGTTGTTTTTGAAGTTCTGCTGGCCGTATTCCTTTTACAGCCCTACATGACGCATAGAGTTTAACTTTCGCAACCGATGTCCACTCCGGTCTCTGTTGAAGGTTAGGGCTCAAGGGTACTTTGGGGCTGTCGGTTTCCAGTGCCAGGGTTCCGCTGAGGGTTTGGGGTTCGGGTTCCTGCGTTTGGGTTCTGGGGCTTGCGGTTCTACTGTCTAGGGCTCTAGGGAGGTTTAGGGTTTAGGGTTTAGGGTTTAGGGGTTTAGGGGTTTAGGGCTCCACTTTGCTGGCGATTCCGGGAGTTCGAGCCCAGGACCATGCCACGGACGTGTCTAGGGCTTCTTCGGTTCTGCAACGGGTGTAGGGGTGTAGGGGCTTCGGCCCTAGATGCTGCAACCTTCCAGCCCTTAGGGCCTTAGGGTTTGGGGTTTTAGGGATGTAGGGTTGTAGGATTTTCAGGTTTTAGGGTTTAGGGTTTTGCAGGATCAGGGCTGTTGGGGTTTAGGGTTCACTACACCCGAACCCTAAATTCCCAAAGCCCGAAGCCCAGACTCCGTTAGCCCTACACTTGGTTGCGACCAAGCCCTGAGTCCCTGTAATCTAGAACCCTTTCGGTGAAGTTTAGGGTCTAGGGTTTAGGGTTCAGGGTTTATGGTTTAGGGTTTAGGGCTTAGGTAAGATCTGAAACGCTGACTGAACCCTGAAAGCTTACCAAGGACCTTAAAGGCTTCCACAATCTTAAGCCCCACGCCCTAAACCCTGAAGCCCAAAAGCCCCCAAGCCCCTAAACCCCCTGAAAGCCTGAACTCGCACCCCCTCAGCCTAAGCCCCCCCCCCCCCCCTCCTGATGAGAATGGTGATTGCTCAGGGTTTAGGGTTTAGGGTTTAGGGTTTAGGGGTTAGGGTTTAGGGTTTAGGGTTTAGGGTTGGTTACGAAGCGGCTGCAGGAATACTTGAGGCGATGCTTCACCAGACCTGGAGTTAGCTTCAATGAGGAAGCTTTTGGCAAGGCCCGCGCAATGGAGTCAACTGCGAACAAAGCTCACATGACAGCGGTGGAAGCATGGCAGAAATGCACGTACTCCGGCGTCCTTTTGCAGCTGGGCTTAGAAGAGGTCCACGTTGATGCTGCGCTGCCTGCAATAGACAAACAAACGTCTTAGGGGCCCTTGACCCTAAACCCTAAGCCCCTCAACCCTAAACCCCTAAACCCTAAACCCCAAACCCTGAACCCCTAAACCCCAAACCCCAAACCCTAAACCCTAAAACCTAAACCCTAAACCCGAAACCCGCAACCCTAAACCCTAAACCCCACACGAGGTCCTCCAGGCGTCCTCCTTCTGGGGCCGCGGGGGCGCCGGCGAAGAGGCGCCGCTGGTGCTGGACCTCCTCCCTGCACTCACGGAGGAGCCTTGGCCGGTTTTGGGTTTAGGGTTTAGGGTTTAGGAATTTAGGGTTTAGGGTTGAGGGTTTAGGGTTTAGGGTTTAGGGTTTAGGGCTCTAGGATTTCAGGGTTTAGGGGTGTGGTTTTTGCCGTTCAGGGTTCGGGGGTGAGGTTTGGGAGAGGTCGGGTGTCGAAGCTTCACCTTTTGCCATGGTCGTAGGAACCTCTGGGGCCCGAAAACCCCAAACCCCAAACCCCAAACCCTAAACCCTAAACCCTAAACCCTAAACCCTAAACCCTAAACCCGAAACCCTAAACCCTAAACCCTAAACCCTTAGGGCTTGGGAAACTTGCCTCTTGGATTGGAGGAGTCATCCACACAGCGCCTTGCTGTGGCAATCCTCAATGTCATGTTTGGGGTTCTTGGTAGGGTTTAGGGTTTAGGGTTTAGGGTTTATGGTTTAGGGTTTAGGGTTTAGGGTTTCGGGCGCCAGAGCCAACAAAACCTACCAATTCAGGGTCTAGGGTTTGGGGTTTAGGGTTCAGGGTTAGACCCCAAGGACCTCCTCAGCCCTCACTGTTCCCGGCCCCTTAAACCCTCAACTCTTGACTCCAGCTTTCGCAAACTCCAACAATTTTCACAGTTCAAAGCTCAAAAGCTAGGGTGTCGAGTTTAGGGTTCGGGGGTTTAGGGTTTTAGGGTTTAGGGCTTCGGGTTTAGGGGCATGGCTGTTTGGGGGTTTAGGGTTTAGGGTTTAGGGGTTTAGGGTTTAGGGGTTTGGGGTTTTTGGGCTTGGCTTTACACGGGGTATACAGTATCGGTGAGTTCGCCGCTTCATCAGCTGGATCATTCCCTACATGTACCCTGAAAGAGCATATAGCGAGATATATTGCACCCTTTGAACCCTCAACCCTAAACCCTAAGCACTGAATCTTAAACCCTAAGCCCTAAATCCTAAACCCTAAACCCCGAAATCATAAACCCTAAACCCCAAATCCCAAACCCTAAACCCTCAATCTCAAACACTAAACCCCGTATCCTAAATCCTAACCCTAAACCCTAAACCCTAAACCCTAAACCCCAAACCCTAAACCCTAAACCCTAAACCCCGAGTTCCCTCCCAAGAGTCAGTAGAAGGAGGCGGCCTGCGCCTGGCTCACGCGCCGGGCCGAGGCTGAGCGAGCCGCGTCCCGGAGGCGAAGGTTTTGGGGTTTAGGGTTTAGGGTTTAAGGAGTGTAGGGTTTAGGGTTTAGGGTGTAGGGTTTAGGGTTTAGGGTTTTAGGGTTTTAGGGTTTTAGGGTTTTAGGGTTTTAGGGTTTTAGGGTTTTAGGGGTTAGGGTTTAGGGTTTAGGGTTTAGGGTTTAGGGTTTGGAGTTTAGGGTTTAGGGTTTAGGGGGGTTAGAGGGCTTGGGCTTGGAGGGTTGGAGGTTTCTAGGTTTCTAGGTTTCTCGGGTTTTTAGGGTTTGGAGTCTTAGGGTTGAGGGTTTGAGGTTTTCTAGGTTTGGTTTTTGGGGAGGTTTAGGGTTAAGGGCGGGGGGTTTAGGGTTCAGGGTTTGGCTGTTTAGAGGTCTAGGTCTTTAGGGTTTTAGGGTTGTAGGGTTTCTGGGGTTTCTAGGGTTTCTAGGGTTTAGGCGTTGGTTTTTTATTTGTAGCTTTAATATTTTGTTTCATATATATATATATATATATTTTTTTTTTTTTGTTGGGGGGGGGGGGTTGGGAGAATCTCGTGTTTTGGGACTTAAGGCCGCTGCGCTGTAGGGGTTCTGGGGTTAAGAGGTTTAATTTGAGTACTTGGTTGAGGGAATGTTTTGGGTTCAACGACCCAGCAAATATGAATTCCGCGATGGCTTCACGCAACATCAGACCCTACAAGTTGCAATTCTTCAATAGCTTGCCGCAAAACAGGACCCTCCAAGTCGGAACTCCCTAATAGCCTCACCCAAAACCTGACCTCGCAAATTGCTGCAAAAATGAACTCCTCGATAGCTTCAAAGCCCTACGACTTGAATTTCCCCAATAGCTTGCCGCAAAGCAGTACCTCAGCCAAGCCTTTTGAACAACAGCGTTTGGGACCTGTCAGGGCAGGTGGGTGCGGGGGGGGGGGGGTCCGTCCCCTGTAACAGCCCCAAGTGCTCCCTTTTGCTTGGTGCTGATGTACCGTCCGATCCCGGACACCTCTCGGTAGGGGGGTATCCCTGCCAAGCAAAAAGGTATCAAATAAATGAGGTGGGATGAGGCGGTTCCTGCTTTGGCCCCTCAAATTGGAAACAGCGCCCCTGAAGTTGGGGCCTCCCAGGACCCAAGCTCCATCAACCTCAGCAAACAGCTCCATCAACGCAAGCAAACAGCGCACCCGTCACATTGGCCTTCAGGGCCCCAAGCTCCAACAGCTCCCCCGAAGTTGGGTCCGTCAACCTAAGCAAACAGCCCCTCAAATTGCCTCCTAGGGCCCAAGCTCCAGCAAATAGCACGGGCCGGGCCTGGTTGTTTTTCTCAAAAGGGGTTGCTGTGCCTGTTGTTTGCGCGCCGAGCCATCAAGCGCTGGCGGTTTGATTGGCACGTTTAAGGTGACGACGGCTCCGTCGTCGTGTGGGGCGGAAGGCTCCAGGATGTGCTGACCCTGCAGCACGTTACCGATCTGCACGCAACAGACGCGGGCTTCCACGCCACCACCTGGGACTGGGTGAGCAGCCGGCCTGCTTTGCATTAAGATGTGCTTTTTTGGGTGATTGTCAGGTGGATTCAGAGGAGAGCCGCGATGACTCATGACCTTACAAATCTGGTTGCGTGGAGAAGTTTTGTAGCCAAATCTGCCGACTGCAATTAAGTCCCCTAGCATCCGTCGAGCTCTGGCTCCCGGATCTTATGGATTCCATAGCCGTGCTGTTGCCCGACTTTTGAGCTAGACGAATCGAAGTGCTTTCAATCGTTAGAAGAAAAGGTGGAATACCTAGCCTCGACCACGACCGGGAAGTCGCAGCAGCCCGCTCTCTCGCCAGCTGCCTGCCACGGACAGCGTGCAGCGACTCGTGATCTCTGTGGGAAGCTCCTCACCGCGACCGCTGCTGGTGCCAGATCAATGCACCTGTGGACGACGCCGTGGACATTGAGCTGGGGCACAGTCTGTTTGCGCGCCCTAACAATGCAGCCAGAGCGACTCGTGCAGGTCCAGCGGTGGAACAACAGACTTTCCGGATGGCGGAATGCTCCCACTGCAGGACTGTGATGCGCAGCAGTGGGCTGAGGTGGCAGTCTCCTTGTTTGGAACAGATGACTCACCCTTCGAGCCCAGCAGGAGCAGCAGTTGCTTTCTGCCTACAGAGATGTGGACAGATTTCCTTCTTGCCTTTCCCGACTTGCGTGGAGGGACCGTGCAGGTTCTTGCAATTACTCCTTTGCAGGTTTCCTGGCGCAGACGCCTAGATGATTTCCTTCCTCCAGCAGCCCCCAACGTTGATTTCCGAGAATCTGTCCAACGCAACAGTAATTTCTGGCAATACTGTGGAGGTGACTCCGGACGACCTAGGAGCTGTGCTGATTCTGGCATACCTAAATGCAGCGCCTCTCCTGCTGCAGCTTTTGCTCCTTTTTGTACAGAAAATGCCTGCCATGTTGGAGGGTGACGCCGGTGCAGCGGATGGAGCTCCGAATGGAGCGCCGGTCGCCGTGGTGCAGGCGCCAAGTTGGTGTGGCAACATTCATGCGTGTTGCTTGCTTTGCCGTGCGGCAGGGCCTTTTGGGCCTGACAGGAGACACCCCGCCAGAAAAGAGCGGCTCAAACATCTTTTTGGTCTGCAAAAATTCGGAGCCTCAAGGGGGGTCTTAGAAGTTTTGCGGCGTCCATCGCACGTTCAGAGTCCAGAGCTTGGAATGGGACGCCGTCGCATGTTCAGAGCCAAAACACAAGTACAATCCTTGGATGTCTGGAAGGAGCCGCAGAGCTTTGCCACTTGTGAAACTGCAGATCTTTTCCACGGCCTGTCATCGACAAGGATCACCTATTGGAGACCGGAGAGACAGACATGCCGGTCGGTGTCCCTGGAGATTTCTCTTCCCTCTGAAGCTTGTGTCCTGGTGCTGGCCCTTCGTCGTGCCCAACACATCAGTACTCCAGACAACAGCACCTGTGTAGTCTTGCGGAAACCGTTTGCAGCTGATGGCGGTTTGGAGTTCCGGCTCCGCGATGGCAAGCGGGGGTTGCCGGTCCCGTTCGAAAACCCTGCCCTAAGCCCGAAAATGCAACCCTAAAACCCTGAAACCCTAAAGCCCCCGAACACCTTAAAAGCCCTAAAACCCTAAAACCCTAAACCGCAAAATCCCGACAAACCCTGAAGCCATCAAACACTAAAGCCCTTCAAAAATGAAACCCTAAAGCCCTAAAGCCCTAAATCATAGCCCAAAACCCTAAAAACCCTAAACCTTAGCCCTAAACCCTAAACCCTAATTCCTAAACCCCATTTCTTTTGGCTTCGGGCCTTGCACTTCGGGTTTCAGATCTTGGCCGCAGGAAGCGACGACCGATGCTGCGCTCTCAGCCAGGACGGCAGCTGGGTTTAGGCTTCCGTGTTTTGGCCCAAAGCCCTATCCCCTAGAGTTTGTGAAAACCCTAAAGCCCTCAAGCCCCAAGCCCTAAAACCCTAAAACCCTAAACCCTAAACCCTAAACCCTAAACCCTAAACCCTAAACCCTAAACCCTAAACCCTAAACCCTAAACCCTAAACCCTAAACCCTAAACCCTAAACCCTAAACCCTGAACCCCAGAGCCGAAGCCCTAAACCCTGGGTTTGGGGTGTGGTGTTTAGACGGTTGAGGGCTGATAGGGTTGAATAGTGGGGCTGATCGTGCTTTTGGTGCTTTCAGGGTTTTTCCGCCTGGGAGTCTATAGGGTTTACCCAAAAGGGATGATATAGGGTACTTATTCCCTCGTTCCCGGGTTTCGGGAGTTGGGGCTGAGACTGCAGCAGTGCTAAGATGTCTCCGGGGGGGAAAATGGGTCCGTCCTTGTGAGGGCTTAGGGTTGTTTTGGGGTCCAAACCCTAAACCCTAAACCCCAAACCCCAAACCCTAAACCCTAAACCCTAAACCCTAGAATTTGCTCCAGATTGGGAGGGGCCAGGCTTGCAAGAAATGTCTAGGGTTTAGGGGTTTAGACACTAAAGCCTCAAATCCGAAACTCCGTCTGCGCCACTACTACTACCCCTCCTCCTACTCATCCTACTCTTACTCCTTCTACTACTAGTACTAGTACTAGTACTAGTACTAGTACTAGTACTAGTACTAGTACTAGTACTAGTACTAGTACTAGTACTAGTACTACTACTACTACTACTACTACTACTACTACTACTACTACTACTACTACTACTACTACTACTACTACTACTACTACTATTACTACAACTCGGGGTACTCCTCCTGCTGGGGTCTAGGCTTAAGGGTTGGAGTTTTCTCGTCACCTCAGGCCTAGCCTCATGGGGAAAAGGCTTTAGAAAAACAGGCTTTTGTTCCAGGCATTCGGGTTTTTAAGGTTTTGGCAAGAACACGATGAAGCCTCAGGAAACCCCTATTTCGCAGGACTTTTGGCTACGCCAACCTTAAACCCAAAACCTAGTAGACCGTAAGCCCTGAGGGGTATTAGGGCTTCTGGGTATGCCCCTAAGCCCGAAACCCTGAGCCCAAAAGACCTCAGACTTGCAACCGAGGCTTGCTTGCGAGGAGCTGTGCCTGCCTTCCTTCTTGCGTTTAGGGTTTGAGGGTCGCAAAGCGAATGTGAAAGACATGTTTAGGTACCCTAAACCCTCACCTTAAACTTTAAACCCTGAACCGCCTAAGCCGCCTGGACCGCCTGGACCGCCTAAACCCCTAAACCCTGAATCCTGAATCCTAGAGTGCAGTTGAGGGTTGTTCCGGGTTCAGGCCCGCACCGGATTCCGAACCCCCCCCTTAAGCCGTGAATCTGTGGCTCTCGGGTTTTAGGCTTGCAGGGTTGAGGGTTTGCAGGGTTGAGGGTTGAGGGTTTAGGGTTGAGGGTTCAGGGTTTAGGGCTGTTTAGGGTTTAGTGTTTAGGGTTGAGGGTTTAGGGTTTAGGGTTTAGGGTTTTAGGGTTTTAGGGCTGAGAGTGCTTGGGGAAGGAGCTGGCGAAGCGGCTTCCCCGACGCTTTGCGGAGGGCTTCTGGAGCAACGAGGCCCCCTCAGCCCTAGGCCCTAAGCCCTAAGCCCGCAGCCCTAAACCCCAAATCCTAAACCTTAAACCCTAAACCCGAAGCCCTAAATTCCGCGCTAAACCCTAATTCTAGACCCTAAGGTTTGAGTTCCTTGAGCCTTAAGGCTCATGGATTCCTGACCCCAAAGGGTCTAGGGTTGTAGGCTTTTCGGGGCTTCATGTGTTACGGGTTGAGGTTTCGAGGGTTTAGGGTTTCGGGTTTAGGGTTTAGGGTTTAGGGTTTAGGGTTTAGGGTAACTAGAAACCGAAAGCTTAGACTTAGCCCGAAACCCGAATTATCCGCCTGTTCTCCCACGCCGCCAGGCCGCTAGGACTTTCCAGTACCCTCCTAAAGTAATGCCAAAAGGCGAGAGGGTTTAGGGTTTAGGGTTTAGGGTTTAGGGTTTGGGGTTTAGAATTAGGGTTTAGGGTTTAGGGTTTAGGGTTTAGGGTTTAGAGATTGGGGATTGGGGTTTGGGGTCTAGGGTTCAGGCTTTTAGGTTGTTTAGGACGTGTAGGGTTTATAGAAATTGTTTGGGATGTAGGGTTTAGAATTTCGGGCTGAACCCGGCCCGAAACCCTAAACACCACAAATCCTAAACCTAAACCCTAAACCCTAAACCCTAAACCCTAAAGTCTAAAGTCTAAAGTCCCTGGTGCCCGGTTTGGCGAGGTTTGCCCGCGGTTGAAATTCAAGCAGCAGGCGATGCTGCAGGCGGGGGAAAGGTTCAGGGATTTAATGGTTTAGGGTTTAGGGTTTAGGTTAAGGGCTTGGGGTCTAGGGCTCAGGGTTCAGGGCTTCAAGCGTTCAGGGCTTAGGATTCATGGTTTGTTGATTCCCTTCCACGTCTCATGGGTTGCATGTTTTGTGTCTGCATGCCTTATTCTACAAAAGTCCTGAACCCTAAATTCGTCTCACGCCTTGTTCCTGTTTGCTAGGTTCTCCAACTAATATACTTACTGGTAAGGGTTGAGAGGTTAGGGTTTAGGGGGTTTAGGGTTTAGGGTTTCGGGTTTACTGCAGAGTTCAGGGCTTGGGGCTTAGAGCTTGGGGCTTAGGGTTTAGGGTCTAGGGTTTAGGGAGGACTCGGTCGGTGGTTTCTGCAGTGCTTTTGCGCGCCTTGCGGTTCTCTTAGGTTAGGCTTCAGGCTTGCGCTGCGGATATCCCGGCAAGACATAAACCCTAAACCCTAAACCCTCAACCCTAAACCCTAAACTTTATGGTTTAGCACTTAGGGTTTAGGATTTAGGGTGAGTCCTTCCCGGCTTGGAGAAAAGTCTGCGGTAACATCAGGTCAAGACTCTGAATCCCAAACCCGAAATTACAAACCCTAACCCTACACCCTGAACCCTAAACCCTAAGCCCCAAACCCCAAACCCTAAACCCTAAACCCTAAACCCTGAACCCTGAACCCTGAACCCTAAACCCTAGAAGAATCGGTAAGCGAAGGACCTTGGCCCAGAGCAGCTGCGCAGTTTGGTGCGGCTGCTGAAATGCTGGGAGGCGCTGGTTCAGGGCTTTGGGTTTAGGGTTTAGGGTTTAGGGTTTAGGGTTTAGGGTTTAGGGTTTAGGGACTTGGGGTGTATGGCGTGCATGGGGTATGTGGGGTGTATGGGGTTTAAGGTTAGGTTTAGGGTTTAGGGTTTAGGGTTTAGGGTTTAGGGTTTAGGGTTTAGGGTTTAGGGCTTAGGGCTTAGGGTTTTGGGGTTCCTTGAGGGGGTTTAGGGGGTTTGAGGGGTTATTGGAGGCTTAGGGTTTAGGGGTTAGGGTAAAAGGCTCTGATCCCTAAGCCCTAAGCCCTAAGCCCTAAGCCCTAAGCCCTAAGCCCTAAGCCCTAAGCCCCAAACCCTAAGCCCTAAGCCCCAAGCCCTAAACCCTAACCCCTATGCCCTAAGCCCTAAACCCTAATCGGGTCCTTGTAGCCTTGGCTTTCTTCTCAGCTGAAGGCAGCAGGCGAAAGGGAGAAATGGCTGAAAGACGACCTCAAGGCCTACGGTTTAGGGTTTAGGGTTTAGGGTTTAGGGTTCAGGGTTTAGGGTTTAGGGTTTAGGGTTTAGGGTTTAGGGCGTGTTCCACAGCAGCACAAGAGAGCGAAGATCTCATTGAGGAATGCCGGAACACCGGCCTCGATGCACTTACGCTCAAGCAGGAAGCGGTGTAGGGTTTAGGGTTTAGGGTTTAGGGTTTAGGGTTTAGGGTTTAGGGTTTAGGGTTTAGGGTTTAGGGTTGTGAAGCTGGACCCATCTGTTGCGACGCTTTGGCGGTCTTTGCGATCTTGGCTGGCAGTTGTCTGAGGTACAACGCTGGATGATGGTCTCTTCGCCGCACGAAGTGTCAAGCACAAGTTCAAGTTCTTGTCTCCTGAAGTGACCAGAACTGCTTTAAGCCGCAGAAAGGATGACGAGAGAGAAGTGGGGGACCGTGAATACTGACAATCTTGGGGTTCAGGGACCCTAAATCCTGAGCCTGTAAGTCACATGATTGTAAACACAAAGCGCAAGCCCGAAACCTCGAGTGCCCCGTGGGCCCCGAGGACCTTTTTGGGCATCTTAGGGTTTAGGGTTTAGGGTTTCGGGCTAGGGTTTAGGATTTAGGGTTTAGGGCGTTTAGGGTTCAGCTCAGGGGGTTTCGGTGCCCCAAAAGCGCGCGCATGCTCAGATGTGGCAGGTGCCGGTCGCGGAAACCGAGGGCTACCTCAAGGTGCGTCGGGGTTTGAGTGGCTCGACTTATGACCACGGTTTAGGGTTTAGGGTTTAGGGCTTAGGGCTTAGGGCCAAACCCCAAACCCCAAACCCCAAACCCCAAACCCCAAACCCCAAACCCCAAACCCCAAACCCCAAACCCCAAACCCCAAACCCCAAACCCCAAACCCCAACCCCCAAACCCCAAACCCCAAACCCCAAACCCCAAACCCCAAACCCCAAACCCCAAACCCCAAACCCCAAACCCCAAACCCCAAACCCTAAACCCTAAACCCTAAACCCTAAGTTATCTTGTCTGGGGCCAGAGCAGACCATGAACAGGCTTCTGTACATACCGATGGTTTCCTTCTCCCCAGCCATGCCCAGTACCGAAATTCTTGTATAACCCCCTAAGCAAACCCGAAGCCTTCAGCCCGAAACCCTACACCCTAGACCCGCAACCCTCAACCCGAAATCTCAAACCTCAACCCAAAATCAAAATCTCAAACCTCAACCCGAAACCCTAAACCCTCAACCTCCAAAACCCAAACCCTAAACCCCTAAACCCCTAAATCCCTAAACCTCTGAAACCCTAAGCCCTAAACCCCAAACCCTGCGCCTTCACCCCTTCACCCAAAATCCAAACCCTGAACCCCACACCCTAAACCCTAAGCCCCAAACCCCAGACCCTAAACCCCAAACCCTAAACCCTGTAAACCCGTAAACCCGTAAACCCGTAAACCCGTAAACCCGTAAACCCGTAAACCCGTAAACCCTAAACCCAAAAAAAAAAAAAAAACCCTAAACCCTAAACCCTAAACCCCAAACAACAACCCGCAGGCCGAGGTGACGTGCGGGGGCGTCGCCACAGAGGAGCTCTCGGCCGCTTGGCCAAGACTAGGAGTCCCGCTTGAGAACGTGGTAGGGTTCAGGGTTTAGGGTTTAGGGTTTAGGGTTTAGGGTTTAGGGTTTAGGGTTTAGGGTTCAGGGTTCAGGATTTAGGAATTGAGAGTTTAGGGCTTGAGGGTTTAGGGTTTCGAGGTTTGGGGGGGCTTCAGGGTTCCAGGTATGTCTATGAGGGTCCAGTTTAGTTTAGGGCTTAGGGTTTAGGGTTTCGGGTTTAGGGGTCGTGCGTTGAGGGTTTAGGGTATAGACTTGGGCCACAACGTCGTGACACAGGAAGTACTTGCAAGCCCAGCATGGGCACATGAACCCTTATGGTCTCAAGGGTTTTGGGTTTGGGCTTCCGGGTTTGGGAAACGGGTGTAGGATTTAGAGCCTAGGATTTCGGGTTGAGAGTAGTTGAGGGCTTGGAGGGTTCTTGGGTCTAGGGTGTCAGGGCCTCTAAAGCTTGTTCTCTAAGCCCTAAGCCTTAACCTCCCTAAACCCTAAACCCCTGAGCCCTGAACCCTAAACCCTAAACCCTAAACCCTAAACCCTAAACCCTAAACCCTAAACCTCCTAAGGCCCCTAACACCCCTACGACTGGTCCGAGGATGAGACCCTGGAGTGCAAGAGGTACCCGGGCCTCTACTTCATCGGCGAGGCTCTACGGGCTTTTGGGGTTTAGGGTTTAGGGTTTAGGGTTTAGGATTTTAGGTCTTCGGGTTTAGGGTTTCGGGTTTCGGGTTTAGGGTTTGGGGTTTGGGGTTCAGGGTTTGGGGTTGAGGGTTTAGGGTTCAGGGTTCAGGGTTTAGGGTTTGGGGTTTGGGGTTTAGGGTTTGGGGTTCCGGTTTCAAGGTTAGGGGTTTAGGGGTGGGGGTTCGACATTTCGGGTTTGGGGGTTCACTGGTGAGGCTCCGCTTTCAGGGTGCTCCCAGCTCCTTGGGTCGTGGATTCTTGGGGCTATGACAAGCCGGATCCTAGCAAATTGGGCCAAGCCTCGATTTTCTGAAGACCTCGGGCCCTCAGGGGCATCCTTCTTCTCTTCTTGTTTTTGTCTAGGGTTGAGGGTCCTAGGGCCCTAAACCCTAAACCCTAAACCCTAAACCCTAAACCCTAAACCCTAAACCCTAAACCCTAAACCCTAAACCCTAAACCCTAAACCCTAAACCCTAAAATGAACCTTTGTAGCACGTTCGGGGTGTAGGGTTTGGGGTTCCCCCTGTCGTTGGGGCTTCGGTCTGCCGACTTTCCCCACCGCTAAACCCACTGCCAGCCCCTAAAGCCCTACAAAGCCTATGGCCCGAAAAGCCCTACAAGGTTTAGGGTTTAGGCGTCAGGGTTTAGGGTTTAGGGTTTAGGCGTCAGGGTTTGGGGTTTAGGGTTTGGGGTTTAGGGTTTAGGGTCTAGGGTATCATCAACCCAAAAAGCCCTCTTAGACCCCACGAAACCTTACAAAGCCCTAGAATCCCTAGGCCCCACACTCTTTTTTCTTTCCTGGGTTGCTCGGGAAACCTGGGGGCCTCTCCCACCCTTGATTCGGCTTCTGCGTATGATTTGGGCTCAGGGTTTAGGGTTTAGGGCTCAGGGGGTTTAGGGTTTAGGGTTAGGGGTTTAGGGTTTAGGGTTTAGGGTTTAGGGTTTAGGGTTTAGGGTTTAGGGCTAGGGCTTTGGGGACCCTGAGCTGCCATCGCGCCCCCCCCGAAGCCCGAAACTTGCAACACCACGCCCTCAACCCAGACCTGCCCAAACGCAAGGAGTGACTAAAAGCTGCATCCCCTGGAGTTTAAGCCCTAAACCCTAAACCCTAAACCCTAAACCCTAAACCCTAAACCCTAAACCCTAAACCCTAAACCCTAAACCCTAAACCCTAAACCCTGGTGGTACAGCAATCGGATCGGGGAGGCGGTCGACGTCACTGGCTGGCTCGGAGGCGTAGCTTGCGGACTTTTGGGGACAATTCAGGGGCTGTAGGGCTTTAGGGTTTAGGGTTTAAGGTTCAGGGTTGAGGGTTGAGGGTTGAGGGCTTAGGGTTCCTAAAACATCATTTTCAAAGGCCTGTAAGGGGTGCTTGGAAAGTTTTTTTCGGGTCTTGGTGAAGGGGTTCTGGTGGGCTTTGTGTGTG